ATATGTGTGTGTGTGTGTGTGTGTGTGTGTGTGTGTGTGGAGGAGGCATGATGGAGTAACTTACATGCTAATACACTTGGGAAAGGCATGAATCCTCTTCTTCTCCCACCAGCTATGGGTAAATATCAGAACAAACTGGGTTCTATAGCCTTGGATGGCAACTGGTCCTTCACAAAAAGAAATTGCAACCTACTGTGGAAAAAAATCTGCCTCGTTAGTCATGTATCGAAAGATACATGATCGCCTAAGCGTGTATCATGCATTGCACATAACTGACTAATATGTGTGTGTGTGTGTGTACTGATGTAATAGGAAAGAACAGTTAGATTAATGATCCAAAGTTCTTTAGTATTTTTTTATTTTTAAAAAACAGTGCTCGACACAGAAGTAGAGCTTAAGAAAATTCCACAAAACCATATATAAATAATTACACAATACCATAAATCTATTAGCAAATTCAATTAAAACTATGGGTTTAAAAATACAACGCAATCATAATTGTTGCACCCCTTTAAGAAATCATCAAGAAAAAACAAAACACCAAAAAGACTGTAACTAGAACATAAATCAGTGTGAGTTTTTTTAGCAGATAGTAAAAAAAAACAAAAGAGCCTGATAGAAATGGTCATTCTAACCAGACAAAAATCCCCAACCCAACCTTACACGACTCCAAAATCTTGAAATATAATAAATGTTCATCAAAGCAGGGACCCTTTGATAATGAAAAACAAACCCCAGATTACACCTCCATTTCCAAACTATAAATGAGTAAAACATTTCTTCCGTTAGTTATTCCAAACATCGTTTGAGAACGAAACGGGTCATCTAAAGTTAAGGTCTAATATTGAAATTAAAATTGTGGACCAGTTCCGAAACATAGTAATTTCTGTGTCACGATGGAATCATATTATATTTATATTTATATATATATATATATATATATATATATATATATATATATATATATATATATATATATATGGGGATGTATATGGGGATATATATGTAGGCACGCGTATGCAGAATGTATATATGTAGGTATTGCGTGCGTGTATGTATGAATATGTGTGTGTATGTATCTTTGTAGGCGAATATATGTATACAAAAAATAATAAAAAATTAAAATCCTACAATGCCAAACAGATATAGATAATGCAAACAAGCACAGAGGTATAAAGTCTCTTTTCAAATTTCAAGTCCGGAAATGATAAGCTAGAGTAATTAATGTCATTACTTATCCTCAGAGATTCCAAGACACTTACCAAGACACATAGTTTTGTCTTTATTTTGTTCAAACTGATGACGCCAAAGAGAACTCCGGCGTAACAAGTCTTTAATAAAAAGAAAATTCCACTCTGTCTCATCATCTTCACTTTTTTCGGATACTATTATACATCCTACACACACACACACACACACACACACACACACACACACACACATATATATATATATATATATATATGGGGATATATATGTAGTTACACGTATGCAAGAATGTATATATGTAGGTGTTGCGTGCGTGGATGTATGAATATGCGTGTGTATCCTCCAAATTCTAAAGAACAAAATTATAAGAATATGTCGTCTGTTGTTTTATTACAAACCAACGTTATTTCAACTTCAACGGGAATTTTTATGGACAGAAATTTGGACTACCGATGTGTTCACCCCTCAGTAGAGTATTAGCATGCTTCTTCCTAGAATTTTTAGAATCTGGCCACCCATTTCAGAGTATTCTCCCAAAACATGCAACATATTTCCGATGTATTTGCGATGCCCTATTAATATCCGCATGACACACTTTTTGATAGATTAAAGAGGATAGAACATACACTCAATTTCACCTATGAAACAGTAACGAACTACATTTTATCATATTTCGACCTTATGTTAATACGTACATATAAGGATATTCATCTGAAGGTCTATCGTAAACCAACAAATAATATTGAACCTATAAACTTTTACTCCCACCACAACAATAAAATAAAATCCGGTATAGGCTTTTATTTTAGAGCACTTAGAATCTGCAGCTCCCAGTTCCTGCCCAAATAAGAGAAATACATTGGAAATATCTTCAAACTATTCCAATACATGAATTATTTCCTACAAAATTCACAAAAGAGAAAAACACAAGAAAATATAAAAATCCACAAATAACAATAATCCCGACAACCATAACAAAATTAAACATATAGGGAATCTAATAAATCCATAACAGCCAACATCGAAAAAAACCTGTCCAACCTCGACATAAACTTTATCAAAACCATCTCTAAAAGATTAAGAGATATAGTTAGCATCAAAAGAAATGACTACAACAACAACGACAACAACAACAGAACATTGGTAGGAATTTACAAAATAGAAGACTGCACAAGATTCCCATTGATGCACATCGGTGAAACACTCAGAAACATAAAAAAAAATTTATTATTCTTCATAAGAACAATCTAAACGCCCGGATGAATCATCGTAATTCACATCTGAGCAGAATTATGACTTTAAAAAATCCTGTTCTGATCAGAAAAGAACATGATTCACTGAGAAGGAAATGCATTGAGAGTGTGCTAATCTTGCAGTTCTCAACAGTAAAGCTATAAAATCGTTGTCTACTGAGGGCGATATAGCCGCACCCATTTAGCAGTTGTTTCACCGTATATATAGCGACTTGCATATACCACTCGCTTCTCCTGTCCGAGTATAAAAGATCAAACATCGACTAGATACAAAGACTTTATTGCAAGTACATACATACAAAGTTTCTCTTTCTAAAAATTCTTTCAACAAGAATTTTCTAAGATTAATGGTCGAACTGTTTTCCTTATACAACTCAGATCTTCTTCACAACCTCATTCGAAAGAATTGGTGTACTTAAGCATCATAAATGCGAAAAGCAGACTGGATTCATAACAAAAGATAATGCTTTCAGAGCGTCTATAGAAGGAAAGTTGCTTTACAGAGGTATTGTCCCATCTTGTTGGAAAATGGCTTTATTCAGGTGTTCATAGCATAGAGAAAAGTGTATTTTGATTATTCAAATGTTCAGAACATTAATACGCAGGCGTGTGTGCACGAAGTGATTCATATAAAGGGGAAGAAAGGAAAGGGAAGTTGTGTGTATTTTTCTTTATATGTAACAAGTGGTAGGAACATTTCGTCAGAGACAAAGTGTACAAAACTACATTGTAATATATAATCTCCTATATGACACAGAGGAAGAAGAAACTTAAAGCAACAGATGTGGTTTTACCAACAAATGCTGTTAATTTCAGAGAACATATAAGCAATGGGGAAGTTTTAAGGAGTAAAAGAAACATCCGTACCATCACAAGAGACAGTTGATATTTCTGAGACACATAATGAGGAAAGAGAGCCTGGAGAATTTAATACTCACAGCATATTTTTGCATGAAGCGGTGTTTTATACCGACATATTTTATCTTTAATTCTGTGCAGGAATTTTCGATAGAGCTAAAGCACATTGATTCGTACAATGCATAGTGACACATTTCAACAAATCAGAATTCGTCATACTTTTCAGTAATTAAGAACTTCAATTCTAGTGTTCCGACAATTAAAGTTATTCACTTCATCACGTGGTTAGTGAAACAGTTTGCTGTTTTCCACTTTTCCAAGATATCAACGAACTTGGTGACAAATGAAAACTCTAACCACGACAGTCTTTAGAATTAGTCCAATCTGCGTCACAGAAACCAATTAAACTCACTGGTTTAATTGACCTATTGAAAATTAAACGTTAATCTTTTGTTCATTTCAGTTAACGTAGAACATGTTTTGCCCGGGTTAAATGGGCAAAGGTAGCTTCACCAGGCAATGTGACAATTTCATTAAAATACACATCTGATCAAGTGGCCATCATAACGCCGACGAAACTTCCAATTATTTCTCTGTAGAAATTGTCGTCAACCAATTCAGTACAGTTCTCTTTTTATCTGTTTCAAATCAATTTCACACACAGTTATTAAATTCTCGGTTTTTCTGGACTGGGTCATTCGAAATGCCAAGCCTTCATTTATGAATTGCATATCAAGAAACCAAGCAATTGCCCCGAAGTCCTTCATTTTGATCTCATGACACAAACAATTTTGAATCATTGAAAGGAGACCAGAGTGTGTTGCTATAATAATAGCACAAATAACAAGAATATTTTATCTCAGGCACGTTTAGTTTAGTTAGATACAAGCGCTGGCAAGTGATCGGATGAAATCTTGATTAATCAAACTCATGATTGCAATACATTTCCGTCACTTTTCAATCAGATTCTATCACGATTTTTTAATCTACATACTAGTTTTTTTTCAGAGATGTTGTCCTTAATTTCACGCAATAATAAATACCATGGATGTGTAAAATATCCCTTCGAGACAAAGAGTGCTTTTTATATTGTTATCGGCAATTTTTAATAGATTTAAAAAGTTCACCAATCCAAAATATAGTGTATTTAATATAGATATGCCAATAACTAATAAAAACATTAAACGCTAATACCGTTCAGTTTCGAAGTCATTGCGGATTATTCACACTGCTTCTTAAATTTTTTTCCTTTCTTGAAAATATAAAATATACTGGACTACCGTTGTCATATCCCATAAAAATAACTTTATTTTTTGCTTCTGGAATAAATTTATTTTTATTCTACATAAGAAATTTCTAATGTTTGCTTTAATTCAAAAGCCGTTTTCCTGAATATATGAATCAGCCATGAGAGTGCATGTCTAAAACATTTCCGGCAATCTCAACCTAAGTAACACACATTTTACCTTTTGAAAAATAAGAGTTCTAACCTCTTTTCACAGTGCCATTGTTGTGTGGCGAATAAGGTGCAGATTTGCCTTGCTTAGTTTGGTTCTTGTAAATTCTGCATTGTTGTCAGTGTATGTTTCACTAATCTATGCTGTGTGATTTCAGTTGAATATTTCTCGGCGGTTCACAGAGAATTATTCTTTTGTCATAAGAAATGAATCGTAATCAAATATGAATAATCATCTACGAAAAGAAAAGCGTAAACTGTATTTAGCAATAAGAACAACCAAACCAATTAAAATTAATGGACTAGTTCCAGTATTCAAATTTAAATGTTTATCACACATTCTGTACCTTTTCTGTGTTTTTTATATAATATATATGTTCCGGATTTGAATCAACCCTCAACAAAGAAAAGGGCGAGAATGGTGTTTAAATCGAAAATATTTTTATTTTCGTATTTTTACAACCAAATTTTTCTTAGCGTTCCTTGTTTGTTAATGTGACTACTTCGCGTGTATGTGTGAAAAAGAGAGCTAAAGGAGAAAGAGAAAGTGTAAGTATCACATAGCTTGCTGAAGGGTAATGTAAATGTCACGTACCTTGGTGAGGAATAGTGTAAGTGTCACGCAGCTTGGTGTGGAAGTTAAAAAGGTTGTAGGGTTGGTGTGTATTTTATGTGTGTGCGTGTTCACATATGATAAACAAATACACATGCAAAAGCTTTTGGTTTCTGCTATTGACCGTTTATTCTTTTTTATGGTGACTGTAGTGAAACAAAGTTCTCAGTGTCTCTTGGGTATGTCCGTTTTCTTGGGTGGGGCAGGAGTTAGGGTAACTAAGTATAAGTATCATATTAATGGTCGAGCTCAAGATTTGGAACGACCAAATAAAAGTTTGTACTTACTTTAACGTTAGAAAGAGAGTTCAGTCGTTAGTGGACCGGGGAAACTAACGTTCCTCAACAGGAACGTAATTACCACGTTGTGCTACATCTTGGAGCAAGGGAGAGAAAGAGGATCTAGAAAGAAAATGTTTGTCTTTTTATAGAATTAACCAGCGTCGCCTAAAAGCATTTAACGAAACTGAGTGGGGTAATTGTATTTACTTTTTACATTATGGGAAAATGTATTTCTTTTTCTTTTTATAATTATTCATTATTATTATTTTATACTGCTGCCACATGGAGAAGAAGAAAAATTCATTTACTTTGACAGTTTTCAACTATTGCTACTGATGGCCTGGTTAAGTTAACTTGCAGTTGGGGTCCGTCGTTAATGAAAGCCTGGTCGGATCTGCCTTTGTCGATGGAAACAGCGTTGGCTTTATAATGAGTAAGTCGTACAGAAATGGTAGCTGTGAAAAACACGGCATTTTCTGGTTGATAATAAAAGATGTTTTATGACCCCGGTATTTTTGGACGGTATTCCAGAAGTGGATGCGCAGAACCAGACGACATTAAGGTCCGATTTTACCATATGAGTTGTCGATGAGCTGAGAAAGATTTTTGAAACTGCGTGCCTTTTATACTGATGCCACTTGACCCTAGTCATGTGACTACATGTCTAAGGAAGGAAGCCTACCTTTGCCATATTTATTTTTCCGTGTTCTTGTTTATTGTATTTTTTTTAATCTTTATTGTTATTTTGGTTCCTACAATCTTAATGAATTAGTTCCAATATTCAAATTTACACATTTATCTCCCATTCTATTCCTGCATAGCGCCTTTTCTTTATTCAGTATATATTTCACATCGACGTTATTTTTCTTTGTCATTTTTCATTAATTAACATTTTCATGATTTCTTATCTTTCATATGACCGAAAATTTTGTGTCATTATTTTAACCTGAAGCGTACAGATTTCGATGAAATTGTATTGTTGAAAAATTACAGACATTTCTTTGTTTTAATATTCAATGTTATACTACTTCAAATGCAACCCGTATATCGCGTGCCATCGATGTTCGGATACTAAGGTCGCTCCAGAAAGTACCAAACTCCTGCGGCCATTCTCTATCTTTACACGAATCAGAACAGACCAAGAATGAAGTGTTGCGGCCATATCTAGGCTGGTGCTGCTAAATCCTCCCTGTATAAAAATTTAACAAGAGTCAAAAAGTAGTTCTGCGGTCTTGTGGGTGATGAATTATTCTCCACCCAGCAATCCTTATTCGACAGATGAAACATTGCTAGCCTCTCACAACTCTATCGTAATTACTATGGCAGATGTTCACAGGTGTTACATTCCTTATTTTCACCCGCTCAGACCGTCAGATCTAGGACCCTCCATGTCACATGCATAGTGGTAAATCATCCCTATTTCCTTTGTGCTTCTTTGATAAAGAGCAAGTTCCTCTCAGCTTCTTCCCCAAAAGTATTACTTAATGGAACAAACTCCTGAGAGGATGCTTCTCTCACAATCTTGGTCCTGGCTCGACAGTTATCTGTCCTATACGTCTTCATAATAATCATTTTTTATTTACTCTTTCCTCTTCTCTTACAATACTTTCACTCAGTAAACCTCTACTTTGAGTGGCTCTTGGGCCTTGTATTGGGTGAACTAATAAATAAACTAGTAAATAAAAAATGAACTACGTATTGTGATGGCCAAAGATGCATTCCAAAACCTAAGCAGAGTATTAAGATACAAAAAATTCGTTACAAAGAAAAGAGTACTGAAATGTTACGTGATATCTGTTCTCCGGTATGGTAGCGAATGCGAGTTTAAGCAACAGAAATGATGTTCTACAGAAAGATGCTGAGGATACCATGGACCGAACATATGAGCAACAACGTGGTTTGTGAGAAAATTGAAACGAAAAAGAAATTTATACTAAACACCAGAAAGAGCCAGTTGGAATTTCTGGGGCTCGTAATGAGGAGGGAGTACTTGAAAAATCTGATACCCACGGGACAGATTGAGGGAAAGAGGAACAGAGGAAAGCAGCGTGTTACATACTTGGTGAGCTTAAGTAAATAGATGGTAGAACAGGGTTTGGGAGAAATAACAAAAAGACAAAACTTATTAAGAGCTGCAAGGGACAGGAAGATGTAGAGGGTCATGTTCGACTACGTCCTGAAGGGACACGGAATCTAAAAGAAGAAATAAAAAAAATTATCATTTCAAAATTTTGTCAATATTTAACAGAAGTACATTTGTCAGGGTGTGTATGTACAGAAAAATATTCTGTTTAACCTTTACCACGCTAATTTCTTTTTGAATTGTTCCCCCGTCACTGCATTTTTTGAGGGTGTAAAAACATGGACACCTACTGTTTTAAATTTGTTATAAATTTCTTTGTATTTTGTGTATAGATTTTATTTTTTGTATACTAATAAAAGAACGGATGAGTAATATTTTGATGTAATGCATTACGTTTTGAATGCATGTTTTGACGTTGAAAAAATTGAAACGCGAAATAAAAAACAAATACATTAAAAAAAAACTCCTGAATAAATTCTTCGTTTGATATTAACGTGGGTTTAATCGGTGTTACGCCACATGTAGAGTCTAGAACAATTCAAAATGACGTCGGAAAACGGAAATTTAATCATGTTCCAAAGCAGTAGTAGGCGATTTCGAACTTAAAATACCGGAAATAACAGTTGACAAGTATTTATTTATAGAAACCGGCGACAGAATGCGCCTAGAGTAGCAAAGAGAGAGAATTCTACGGCGACAATTGTCGCCTGAAGTGAAATAAAGGTTAAATGAAATGCATTATTCAGAACATCTCTCAATATTCCCAATCAAATCTATCAAAGAAATATGCGCATTATACTTTTTCAGAGCAATATTATTTGATCTACTACTGCCTGTCAACTCAATAAAATGTTTTTCGTGGTTAAAATTATTATCGAAATTTATCAATTTCGACTCGTCTGCTATGACATGTGTTGTCGGCCAGCAGTCAACAAATATGCTCTTTATGTTATCCTTTCCAATTCAAAGAGAAAGTAATGTTCATTTGCGTTTAAAGAATAAACGAATAAAAACATCTTGCTTTACATTGTGGAAACCAAAACCACAAACTATAAAATAAATAAATAAAATAAACAGAAAAATATATGACAGAAGTGAATTAACTTCCTTAAAGATACAGCCACAAGATCAGAATCACGTGGTATTCGTATAAAAAACTTTCAAAAATCTTTCCCGTTCTCCATTTTTCTGTTCCCTAAACAGTTACTGCCCAGCATGTATGTAATTTTATCACAACTATCAGCCACTTACCAACACTCATACACACACTTCCGACATATATTCACAAACTTACTCTCTGTTTCCAAAAATTGGAATTTTAGTGAGAATATATTATTTTATTTTTAACAAGGAAAAATGTTTTTTTGTTCGTCATTTGTATTTTGCATTTTTTGTTCGTCACGGTTTTTTTTGCATTCTTTCAGTCATCTAAAATCTTTTCAGCGCTAAATACTACCTTTTCTTGTTTTTTTTTGCATTCTTTCAGTCATCTAAAATTTTTTCAGCGCTTTTTTTTTTTTTTGCATTCTTTCAGTCATCTAAAATCTTTTCAGCGCTAAATACTACATTTTTCTTTTTTTTGCATTCTTTCAGTCATTTCTAAAATCTTTTTTACAGCTAAATCTAAAAATTTCTTTTTTTTTTTTTTTTTGAGTCATTTAAAATCTTTTTCAGCGCTAAATACTACCTTTTTCTTTTTTTTTACATTCTTTTCAGTCATCTAAAATCTTTTTCAGTGCGCTAAATACTACCTTTTTTTTTTTGCATTCTTTTTCAGTTTTTTTTCAGCGCTAAATACTTTTTCTTTTTTTGCATTCTTTCAGTCATCTAAAATCTTTTCAGCGCTAAATACTACCTTTTTTTTTCTTTTTTTCAGTCATCTAAAATCTTTTCAGCGCTCTTTTTTTCTTTTCTTGCGTTCTTTCAGTCATCTAAAATCTTTTCAGCGCTAAATACTACCTTTTCTTTTTTTTTCTTTCAGTCATCTAAAAATCTTTCAGCGCTAAATACTACCTTTTCTTTTCTTGCGTTCTTTCAGTCATAAAAATCTTTTCAGCGCTAAATACTACCTTTTTTTTTTTTTTGCATTCTTTCAGTCATCTAAAATCTTTTCAGCGCTAAATACTTTTTTTTTTTGCATTCTTTCAGTCATCTTTTTTCTTTTTTTCTTTTTTTTTGCGTTCTTTCAGTCATCTAAAATCTTTTCAGCGCTAAATACTACCTTTTCTTTTTCTTGCGTTCTTTCAGTCATCTAAAATCTTTTCAGCGCTAAATACTACCTTTTCTTTTTTTTGCATTTTTCAGTTTAAAATCTTTTCAGCGTTTTTCTTTTTGCATTCTTTCAGTCATCTAAAATCTTTTCAGCGCTAAATACTACCTTTTCTTTTTTTTTCTTTTTTTCATCTTTTTTCAGTCATCTTTTCAAAATCTTTTCAGCGCTAAATACTACCTTTTTCTTTTTTTTCTTTTTTTTTTTTTGTCATCTAAAATCTTTTCAGTACATCTAAAAAATCTTTTCAGCGCTAAATACTACCCCTTTTCTTTTTTTTTTTTTTCTTTCAGTCATCTAAAATCTTTTCAGCGCTAAATACTACCTTTTCTTTTTTGCATTCTTTCAGTCATCTAAAATCTTTTCAGCGCTAAATACTACCTTTTTTTTTTTTTTGCATTCTTTCAGTCATCTAAAATCTTTTCAGCGCTAAATACTACCCTTTTTTTTTTTTTTTCTTTCAGTCATCTAAAAATCTTTTCAGCGCTTACTACCTTTTTCTTTTTTTTTTTGCATTCTTTCAGTCATCTAAAATCTTTTCAGCGCTAAATACTACTTTTCTTTTTTTTTTTTTTTTTTTTTTTGCATTCTTTCAGTCATCTTTTTTCATACTACCTTTTTTTTTTTTTTGCATTCTTTCAAAAAATCTTTTCAGCGCTAAATACTACCTTTTCTTTTTTTTTTTTTCTTTCAGTCATCTAAAATCTTTTCAGCGCTAAATACTAGCTTTTTTTTTTTTTGCATTCTTTTCAGTCATCTAAAATCTTTTCAGCGCTAAATACTACTTTTTCTTTTTTTTTTTTTTTCTTTCAGTCATCTAAAATCTTTTCAGCGCTAAATACTACCTTTTCTTTTTTTTGCATTCTTTCAGTCATCTAAAATCTTTTTCAGCGCTAAATACTACCTTTTCTTTTTTTTGCATTCTTTCAGTCATCAATAGTGCTAAATACTACCTTTTCTTTTTTTTTGCAAATCTAAAATTTTTCAGCGCTAAATACTACCTTTTTTTTTTTTTTTTTTGCATTCTTTCAGTCATTTAAAATATTTTCAGCGCTAAATACTACCTTTTCTTTTTTTTTTTTGCATTCTTTCAGTCATCTAAAATCTTTTCAGCGCTAAATACTACCTTTTCTTTTTTTTGCATTCTTTCAGTCATCTAAAATCTTTTTTCAGTCATCTAAAATTTCTTTTTTGCATTCTTTCAGTCATCTAAAATCTTTTTCAGTTCTTTTTTTTTTTTGCATTCTTTCAGTCATCTAAAATCTTTTCAGCGCTAAATACTACCTTTTTTTTTTTTTTTTCATTTCTTTTCAGCATTCTTTTTTTTTTGCATTCTTTCAATCTAAAATCTTTTCAGTGCTAAATACTACCTTTTTTTTTTTTTTTTGCATTCTTTCAGTCATCTAAAATCTTTTCAACGCTAAATACTACCTTTTCTTTTTTTTTACATTCTTTCAGTCATCTAAAATCTTTTCAGCGCTAAATACTACCTTTTCTTTTTTTTTTTGCATTCTTTCAGTCATTTAAAATCTTTTCATTAAATACTTTTTTTAGTTTTTTTTCAGTGCTAAATGCATTTTTTTTTTTGCATTCTTTCTAAAATCTTTTCAGTGCTAAATACTACCTTTTTTTTTGCATTCTTTCAGTCATCTAAAATCTTTTTCAGCGCTAAATACTACCTTTTTTTTTTTTCTTTCATTCTTTTCAGTCATCTAAAATCTTTTCAGTGCTAAATAAAAATCTTGTCACCTTTTCTTTTTTTTTTCATTCTTTCAGTCATCTAAAATCTTTTCAGTGCTAAATACTACCTTTTTTTTTTTTTTTATTCTTTCAGTCATCTAAAATCTTTTCAGTGCTAAATATTTTTTTTTTTTTGATTTTTCATTTTTTTTTGCATTTTTCTTTTTTTGCAGTCATCATCAAAATCTTTTCAGTGCTAAATACTACCTTTTCTTTTTTTTTTCTTTCAGTCATCTAAAATCTTTCTCATTTAAAACTACCTTTTCTTTTTGCATTCTTTCAGTCATCTAAAATCTTTTCAGCCTAAATACTTTTTTTTTTTTTTTTTTTTTGCATTCTTTTCAGTCATCTTAAAATCTTTTCAGTGCTAAATACTACCTTTTCTTTTTTTGCATTTTTCAGTCATCTAAAATCTTTTCAGTGCTAAATACTACCTTTTCTTTTTTTTTTTTGCATTCTTTTCATCTAAAATCAGTCATCTAAAATCTTTTCAGCGCTAAATACTACCTTTTTCTTTTTTTTTTTTTTTTTTTGATTCTTTCAGTCATCTAAAATCTTTTCAGTGCTAAATACTACCTTTTTTTTTTTTTTTTCAGTCATTCTTTCAGTCAAATCTAAAATTTTTTTTTTTTGCATTCTTTCAGTCATCTAAATACTAAATACTACCTTTTCTTTTTTTTTTTGCATTCTTTCAGTCATCTAAAATCTTTTCAGCGCTAAATACTACCTTTTTTTTTTTTTTTTTTGCATTCTTTCAGTCATCTAAAATCTTTTCAGTGCTAAATTTCTTTTTTTTTTTTTCCATTCTTTCACCTTTTTTTTTTTTTTTTTTTTGCATTCTTTCAGTCATCTAAAATATTTTCAGCGCTAAATACTACCTTTTCTTTTTTTTTTGCATCCTTTCAGTCATCTAAAATCTTTTCAGCGCTAAATACTACCTTTTCTTTTTTTTTTGCATTTTTTTCATCTAAAATCTTTTCAGTGCTAAATCTACCTTTTCTTTTTTTTTGCATTCTTTCAGTCATCTAAAAATCTTTTCAGCGCTAAATACTACCTTTTCTTTTTTTTTTTTTCTTTTCAGCGCTAAATACTACCTTTTTTTTTTTTTTTTTCTTTCAGTCATCTAAAATCTTTTCAGCGCTAAATACTACCTTTTCTTTTTTTTGCGTTGTTTCAGTCATCTAAAATCTTTTCAGTGCTAAATACTACCTTTTTTTTTTTTTTGCATTCTTTCAGTCATCTAAAATCTTTTCAGTGCTAAATACTACCTTTTCTTTTTTTTGCATTCTTTCAGTCATCTAAAATCTTTTCAGCGCTAAATACTACCTTTTCTTTTTTTTTTTTTTTTCTCATCATCTAAATACTACCTTTTCTTTTTTTTTTTTGCATTCTTTCAGTCATCTAAAATCTTTTCAGCGCTAAATTTTCTTTTTTTTTTTTCCATTTTCAATTCTTTTTTTTTGCAGTCATCTAAAATCTTTTCAGCGCTAAATACTACCTTTTCTTTTTTTTTTTTGCATTCTTTCAGTCATCTAAAATCTTTTCAGTGCTAAATACTACCTTTTTTTTTTTTTTTCAGCATTCTTTCAGTCATCTAAAATCTTTTCAGCGCTAAATACTACCTTTTTTTTTTTTTTTGCATTCTTTCAGTCATCTAAAATCTTTTCAGCGCTAAATACTACCTTTTCTTTTTTTTTTTTTTTTCAGTCATCTAAAATCTTTTCAGTGCTAAATACTACCTTTTTCTTTTTTTTTTTTTCTTTTTCAGTCATTTAAATCTTTTCAGTGCTAAATTTTTTTTTCTTTTTTTGCATTCTTTCAGTCATCTAAAATCTTTTTCAGCGCTAAATACTACCTTTTCTTTTTTTTTTGCATTCTTTCAGTCATTTAAAATCTTTTCAGCGCTAATACTACCTTTTTTTTTTTTTTTTTTTGCATTCTTTCAGTCATCTTTTCAGCTAAATCTTTTTCAGCGCTAAATACTAAAATTTTCTTTTTTTTCATTCTTTCAGTCATTTAAAATCTTTTCAGTGCTAAATACTACCTTTTCTTTTTTTTTGCATTCTTTCAGTCATCTAAAATCTTTTCAGCGCATTCTTTCAATCTAAAATCTTTTCAGCCTTTTACTTTTTTTTTTTTTTTTCTTTCAGTCATCTAAAATCTTTTCAGCGCTAAATACTACCTTTTCTTTTTTTTTTGCATTCTTTCAGTCATCTAAAATCTTTTTCAGTGCTAAATACTACCTTTTCTTTTTTTTGCATTCTTTCAGTCATCTAAAATCTTTCAGTGCTAAATTACCTTTTCTTTTTTTTGCATTCTTTCAGTCATCTAAAATCTTTTCAGCACTAAATACTACATTTTTTTTTTTTTTTTTTTTCAGTCATCTAAAATCTTTTCAGTGCTAAATACTACCTTTTCTTTTTTTTGCATTCTTTCAGTCATCTAAAATCTTTTCAGCGCTTTTTTTTTTTTTTTGCATTCTTTCAGTCATTTAAAATCTTTTTCAGCGCTAAATACTACCTTTTCTTTTTTTTTTGCATTCTTTCAGTCATCTAAAATCTTTCAGCGCTAAATACTACCTTTTTTTTTTTTTTTGCATTCTTTCAGTCATCTAAAAATCTTTTTCAGTGCTAAATACTTCACCTTTTTTTTTTTTTTTTTTCTTTCAGTCATCTAAAATCTTTTCAGCGCTAATATACCTTTTCTTTTTTTTTTTTCTTTCAGTCATCTAAAATCTTTTCAGCGCTAAATACTACCTTTTTTTTTTTTTTTGCATTCTTTCAGTCATCTAAAATCTTTTCAGCACTTAAATACTACCTTTTCTTTTTTTTGCATTCTTTTCAGTCATCTAAAATCTTTTCAGCGCTAAATACTACCTTTTTTTTTTTTGCATTCTTTCAGTCATCTAAAAATCTTTTTCAGCGCTAAATACTACCTTTTTTCTTTTTTTTTTGCATTCTTTTCAGTCATCTAAAATCTTTTTCAGCGCTAAATACTACCTTTTCTTTTTTTTTTTCTTTCAGTCATCTAAAATTTTTTCGGCGCTAAATACTACCTTTTTTTTTTTGCATTCTTTCAATCATCTTTTTCAGCGCTAAATACTACCTTTTTTTTTTTTTTTTTTGCATTCTTTCAGTCATCTAAAATCTTTTTCAGCGCTAAATACTACCTTTTTTTTTTTTTTTCAGTCATCTAAAATCTTTTCAGCGCTAAATACTACTTTTTTTTTTTGCATTCTTTCAGTTCTTTTCAGTCTAAATACTAAAATTTCTTTTTTTGCATTCTTTCAATCATCTAAAATCTTTTTTTTTTTTTTTTTTTTGCATTCTTTCAGTCATCTAAAATCTTTTCAGCGCTAAATACTACCTTTTCTTTTTTTTGCATTCTTTCAGTCATTTAAAATCTTTTCAGTGTTAAATACTACCTTTTCTTTCTTTTTGAATTCTTTCAGTCATTTAAAATCTTTTCAGTGCTAAATACTATCTTTTCTTTTTTTGCATTCTTTCAGTCATCTAAAATCTTTTCAGCGCTAAATACTACTTTTTCTTTTTTTGCATTCTTTCAGTCATCTAAAATCTTTTCAGCGCTAAATACTACCTTTTTTTTTTTTTGCATTCTTTCAGTCATCTAAAATCTTTTTCAGCGCTAAATACTACCTTTTCTTTTTTGCATTTTTTTCTTTTTTTTACTACATTTTTTTTTTGCATTCTTTCAGTCATCTAAAATCTTTTCAGCGCTAAATACTACCTTTTTTTTTTTTGCATTCTTTCAGTCATTCTTTCAGTCTAAATACTACCTTTTCTTTTTTTTTTGCATTCTTTCAGTCATTTTTTTCAGCGCTAAATACTACCTTTTCTTTTTTTGCATTCTTTCAGTCATCTAAAATCTTTTCAGCGCTAAATACTACCTTTTCTTTTTTTTGCATTCTTTCAGTCATCTAAAAATATTTCAGCGCTAAATACTACCTTTTCTTTTTTTTTAGCATTCTTTCAGTCATCTAAAAATCTTTTCAGCGCTAAATACTACCTTTTCTTTTTTTTTTTTTTTTTTTCAGTCATTCTTTTCAGCGCTAAATACTACCTTTTCTTTTTTTTTGCATTCTTTCAGTCATCTAAAAAAATTTTCAGCGCTAAATACTACCTTTTCTTTTTTTTGCATTTTTCAGTCATCTAAAATCTTTTCAGCGCTTTTTTTTCTTTTTTTGCATTCTTTCAGTCATCTAAAAATCTTTTCAGCGCTAAATACTACCTTTTCTTTTTTTTTTTGCATTCTTTCAGTCATTAAAATCTTTTCAGTCTAAATACTACCTTTTCTTTTTTTGCATTCTTTCAGTCATCTAAAATCTTTTCAGCGCTAAATTTTCTTTTCTTTTTTTGCATTCTTTCAGTCATCTAAAATCTTTTCAGTGCTAAATACTACCTTTTCTTTTTTTTTTTTTCATTCTTTCAGTCATCTAAAATACCTTTTCTTTTTTTGCATTCTTTCCGTCTAAATACTACAAAATACACTTTTTTTTTTGCATTCTTTCAGTCATCTAAAATCTTTTTCAGCGCTAAATACTACCTTTTCTTTTTGCATTCTTTCTCATTTTTTTTTTTTTTTCTTTCTTTTTATTCTTTCAGTCATCTAAAATCTTTTCAGCGCTAAATACCTTTTTTCTTTTTTTTGCTTTTTTTTTTTTTTTTTTTTACTTTTGTTTTTTGCATTCTTTCAGTCATCTAAAATCTTTTCAGCGCTTCAATACTACCTTTCTTTTTTTGCATTCTTTCAGTCATCTAAAATCTTTTCAGCGCTAAATACTACCTTTTCTTTTTTTTGCATTCTTTCAGTCATCTAAAATCTTTTCAGCGCTAAATACTACCTTTTCTTTTTTTTTGCATTCTTTCAGTCATCTAAAATCTTTTCAGCGCTAAATACTACCTTTTTTTTTTTTTTTGCATTCTTTCAGTCATCTAAAATCTTTTCAGCGCTAAATACTACCTTTTCTTTTTTTTGCATTCTTTCAGTCATCTAAAATCTTTTCAGCGCTAAATACTACCTTTTCTTTTTTTTGCATTCTTTCCGTCATCTAAAATCTTTTCAGTGCAAAATACTACCTTTTCTTTTTTTTGCATTCTTTCAGTCATCTAAAATCTTTTCAGCGCTAAATACTACCTTTTCTTTTTTTTGCATTCTTTCAGTCATTTAAAATCTTTTCAGTGCTAAATACTACCTTTTCTTTCTTTTTGCATAGTTTCAGTCATCTTCTTTTCAGCGCTAAATACTACCTTTTTTTTTTTTTCTTTCAGTCATCTAAAATCTTTTTCAGCGCTAAATACTAACTTTTTTTTTGCATTTTTCAGTCATCTAAAATCTTTTAAATACACCTTTTCTTTTTTTTTGCATTTTTCATCATTTACTTTTCTTTTCTTTTTTTTTTTTGCATTTTTCAGTCATTTAAAAATCATTTCAGTTCTAAATACTACATTTTTTTTTTTTTTCTTTCTTTTTTTGCAGTCATCTAAAATCTTTCAGCGCCAAATACTTTTTCTTTTTTTTTTTGCATTCTTTTCAGTCATCTAAAATCTTTTTCAGTTTCAAGAATACTACCTTTTCTTTTTTTTGCATTCTTTCAGTCATCTAAAATCTTTTCAGCGCTAAATACTACCTTTTCTTTTTTTGCATTCTTTCAGTCATCTAAAATCTTTTCAGCGCTAAATACTACCTTTTCTTTTTTTTTTTGCATTCTTTCAGTCATCTAAAATCTTTTCAGCGCTAAATACTACCTTTTCTTTTTTTTGCATTCTTTCAGTCATCTAAAATCTTTTCAGCGCTAAATACTACCTTTTCTTTTTTTTGCATTCTTTCAGTCATCTTTTCAAAATCTTTTTCTTTTTTTTTGCATTCTTTCAGTCATCTAAAATCTTTTCAGCTAAATACTACCTTTTCTTTTTTTTTTATTCTTTCAGTCATTTTTTTGAAATCTTTTCATCTAAATTTTCAGCGCAACATTTTTTTTTTTTTGCATTCTTTCAGTCATCTAAAATCTTTTCAGTTTTTTTTTTCTTTTTGCATTTTTCAGTCATCTAAAATCTTTTCAGCGCTAAATACTACCTTTTTTTTTTTTTTTGCATTCTTTCAGTCATCTAAAATCTTTTTCAGCATAAATACTACCTTTTTTTTTTTTTTTTTTGCATTCTTTCAGTCATCTAAAATCTTTTCAGTCTAAATCTAAAATTCTTTTCATCTAAAAATCTTTTCAAATACTACCTTTTTTTTTTTTTTTTCAGTCATCTAAAATCTTTTCAGCGCTTACTACCCTTTCTTTTTTTTTGCATTCTTTCAGTCATCTAAAATCTTTTCAGTGCTAAATACTACCTTTTTTTTTTTTTTTGCATTCTTTTCAGTCATCTAAAATCTTTTCAGCGCTTCAATACTACCTTTTCTTTTTTTTTTTTATTCTTTCAGTCATCTAAAATCTTTTTCAGCGCTAAATACTACCTATTTTTTTTTTTTTGCATTCTTTCAGTCATCTAAAATCTTTTCAGCGCTAAATACTACCTTTTCTTTTTTTGCATTCTTTCAGTCATCTAAAATCTTTTCAGTGCTAAATACTACCTTTTCTTTTTTTACATTCTTTCAGTCATCTAAAATCTTTTTCAAAATACTTTTCAGCATTCTTTCAATCTAAAATCTTTCACCTTTTTTCTTTTTTTTTTTGCATTCTTTCAGTCATCTAAAATCTTTTCAGCGCTAAATACTTTTTTTTTTTTTGCATTCTTTTCTTTTTTTCAGCATTCTTTTTTTCTCATTGCAAATCATTTCAGTCTTTTTCAGCAATACTTCCTTTTCTTTTTTGCATTCTTTTCATCTTCTTTTTTACTACCTTTTCTTTTTTTTTTTTTTTTTTTCAGTCATCTAAAATCTTTTCAGCGCTAAATACTACCTTTTTTTTTTTGCATTCTTTCAGTCATCTAAAATCTTTTCAGCACTAAATACTTTTCTTTTTTTTTTGCATTCTTTCAGTCATCTAAAAATCTTTTCAGCGCTAAATACTACCTTTTCTTTTTTTTGCATTCTTTCAGTCATCTAAAATCTTTTCAAATACTACTTTTTCTTTTTTTTGCGTTCTTTCAAAAAAATATTTTCACTAAATACTTTTTTTTTTTTTCATTCTTTCAGTCATTTAAATCTTTTCAGTGCTAAATACTACCTTTTCTTTTTTTTGCATTCTTTCAGTCTGTCATCTAAAATCTTTTCAGCGCCAATACTACCTTTTCTTTTTTTTTTTTTGCATTCTTTCAGTCATCTAAAATCTTTTCAGTGCTAAATACTACCTTTTCTTTTTTTTTGCATTCTTTCAGTCATCTAAAATCTTTTCAAGCTAAAATACTACCTTTTTTTTTTTTTGCATTCTTTCAGTCATCTAAAATCTTTTCAGTGTTTCAATACTACCTTTTCTTTTTGCTTCTTTCAAATCTAAAATCTTTTCAGCGCTAAAACTACCTCTTTTTTTTGCATTCTTTCAGTCATCTAAAATCTTTTCAGCGCTAAATACTACCTTTTCTTTTTTTTTGCATTCTTTCAGTCATCTAAAATCTTTTCAGCGCTAAATACTTTTCTTTTTCTTTTTTTGCATTCTTTCAGTCATCTAAAAAAATTTTTTCTTTTTTGCATTCTTTCAGTCTAAAAATCTTTTCACTTTTTCTTTTTTTTTTTTTCAGTCATTCTTTCAGTCATCTAAAATCTTTTTTCAGCGCTAAATACTTCCTTTTCTTTTTTTTGCATTCTTTTCAGTCATCTAAATCTTTTCAGCTTTCATCATCTAAAATCTTTTTCTTTTTTTTTCTTTTTTTCATTCTTTCAGTCATCTAAAATCTTTTCAGCGCTAAATACTACCTTTTCTTTTTTTTTTGCATTCTTTCAGTCATCTAAAATCTTTTTCAGCGCTAAATACTACCTTTTCTTTTTTTTTTTTGCATTCTTTCAGTCATCTAAAATCTTTTCAGCGCTAAATACTACCTTTTCTTTTTTTTTTTGTTCTAAATCTTTTCAGTCATCTAAAATCTTTTTCAGCGCTAAATACTACCTTTTCTTTTTTTTTTTTTTTCAGTCATCTAAAATCTTTTTCAGCGTAAATATTTTTCTTTTTTTTCATTCTTTCAAATCATTTTTTTTCAGCGCTAAATACTTTCACCTTTTCTTTTTTTTTTGCATTCTTTCAGTCATCTAAAATCTTTTCAGCGCTAAATACTACCTTTTCTTTTTTTTTTTGCATTCTTTCAGTCATCTAAATCTTTTCAGCACCCTTCAATAATACCTTTTCTTTTTTTTTTTTTTCTTTTCAGTCATCTAAAATCTTTTCAGCGCTAAAACTACCTTTTCTTTTTTTTTTCTTTCAGTCATCTAAAATCTTTTCAGCGCTAAATACTTTTTTTTTTTTGTGTCATCTAAAAATCTTTTCAGTGCCCGCTAAATACTACCTTTTCTTTTTTTTTTTTTTTTTTGCATTCTTTCAGTCATCTAAAATCTTTTCAGCGCTAAATACTACCTTTTCTTTTTTTGCATTCTTTCAGTCATCTAAAATCTTTTCAGCGCTAAATACTACCTTTTTTTTTTTTTGCATTCTTTCAGTCATCTAAAATCTTTTCTTTTTTTATGCTAAAATAATACCTTTTACTTTTTTTTTTTTGCATTCTTTCAGTCATCTAAAATCTTTTTCAGTAAAAATACTACCTTTTTTTTTTTGCATTCTTTCAGTCATCTAAAATCTTTTCAGCGCTAAATACTACCTTTTCTTTTTTGCATTCTTTCAGTCATCTAAAATCTTTTCAGCGCTAAATACTACCTTTTCTTTTTTTTTTTCTTTCAGTCATTCTTTTCAGCGCTAAATCTAAAATTCTTTTCATCAGCGCTTACTATCTTTTCTTTTCTTTTTTTTTTTCAGTCATTACTTTCTTTTCAGTGCATTCTTTTTCAGTCATCTAAAATTTTCAGCGCTTTTTTTCTTTTTTTGCATTCTTTTCAGTCATCTAAAATCTTTTCAGCGCTAAATTACCTTTTCTTTTTTTTTGCATTCTTTCAGTCATCTAAAATCTTTTCAGCCAAAATACTACCTTTTTTTTTTTTTTCTTTCAGTCATCTTTTTTAAATCTTTCAGCGCTAAATACTACCTTTTCTTTTTTTGCATTCTTTCAGTCATCTAAAATCTTTTCAGCGCTAAAATACCTTTTCTTTTTTTTTGCATTCTTTCAGTCATCTAAAATCTTTTCAGCGCTAAATACTTTTCATTTTCTTTTTTTTTTTGCATTCTTTCAGTCATCTAAAATCTTTTCAGCGCTAAATACTACCTTTTTTTTTTTTTTTTTCTAAAAAAAAAATCTTTCGCATTCTTTCTTTTTTGCGTTCTTTCAGTCATCTAAAATCTTTTCAGCCCTAAATACTACCTTTTCTTTTTTTTGCATTTTTCAGTCATTAAAATCTTTTCAGTGCTAAATACTACCTTTTCTTTTTTTTGCATTTTCAGTCATCTAAAATCTTTTCAGCGCTAAATACTACCTTTTTTTTTTGCATTCTTTCAGTCATCTTTTCAAAAAATACTTTTCAGCGTCTAAATACTAAAAAAATCTTTTCATTTTTTTTTTTTTTTGCATTCTTTCAGTCATCTAAAATCTTTTTCAGCGCTTTTTTTTTGCAAATCATCTAAAATCTCTTTTCTTTTTTTTTTTTTTGCATTCTTTTAGTCATTTAATATCTTTTCAGTGCTAAATACTACCTTTTCTTTTTTTGCATTTTTCAGTCATCTAAAATCTTTTCAGTGCTAAATACTACCTTTTCTTTTTTTTTGCATTCTTTCAGTCATCTAAAATCTTTTCAGCGCAAAATACTACCTTTTCTTTTTTTGCATTCTTTCAGTCATCTAAAATCTTTTCAGCGCTAAATACCTTTTCTTTTTTTTTTGCATTCTTTTTGTCATTTTTCAGCGCAAATCTAAATTCTTTCAGTCATCTTTTTTTTTCAGCGCTAAATACTACCTTTTCTTTTTTTGCATTCTTTCAGTCATCTAAAATCTTTTTCAGTGCAAATACTACCTTTTCTTTTTTTGCATTCTTTCAGTCATCTAAAATCTTTTTCAGCGCTAAATACTACCTTTTCTTTTTTTGCATTCTTTCAGTCATCTAAAATCTTTTTTTGCGCTAAATACTACCTTTTTCTTTTTTTTTTGCATTCTTTCAGTCATCTAAAATCTTTTCAGTGCTAAATACTACCTTTTCTTTTTTTTGCATTCTTTCAGTCATCTAAAATCTTTTCAGCGCTAAATACTACATTTTCTTTTTTTTGCATTCTTTCAGTCATCTAAAATCTTTTCAGCGCTAAATCTTTTTCAGCGCTTTTTTTCATTCTTTCAGTCATCTAAAAATCTTTTCAGCGCTAATACTACCTTTTTTTTTTTTTTTGCATTCTTTCAGTCATCTAAAATCTTTTTCAGCGCTAAATGCTACCTTTTCTTTTTTTCATTTTCAGTCATCTAAAATCTTTTCAGCGTATTTTTTTCTTTTTTGCATTCTTTCAGTCATCTAAAAATCTTTTCTACCTTTTCTTTTTTTTGCATTCTTTCAAATCTAAATCTTTTTCAGTGCTAAATACTACCTTTTCTTTTTTTTGCATTCTTTCAGTCATCTAAAATCTTTTCAGCGCTAAATACTACCTTTTCTTTTTTTTTGCATTCTTTCAGTCATTTAAAATCATTTCAGTGCTAAATACTACATTTTCTTTTTTTTGCATTGTTTCAGTCATCTAAAATCTTTTCAGCGCTAAATACTACCTTTTCTTTTTTTTGCATTCTTTCCGTCATCTAAAATCTTTTCAGTGCAAAATACTACCTTTTCTTTTTTTTGCCACTTTCTTTCAGTCATCTAAAATCTTTTCAGCGCTTCATACTACCTTTTCTTTTTTTTGCATTTTTTTTCAGTCATCTAAAATCTTTTTCAGCGCTAAATACTACCTTTTCTTTTTTTGCATTCTTTCAGTCATTTAAATCTTTCAGCGCTAAATACCTTTTTTTTTTTTTTGCATTCTTTTTCAGTCATCTAAAATCTTTTTCAGCGCTAAATACTACCTTTTTTTTTTTTTTCCGTCATCTAAAATCTTTTCAGTCATCTAAATACTACCTTTTCTTTTTTTGCATTCTTTCAGTCATCTAAAATATTTTCAGCTTTTTTTTTTTTTTTTGCATTCTTTCAGTCATCTAAAATCTTTTCAGCGCTAAATACTACCTTTTCTTTTTTTTTTCTTTCAGTCATCTAAAATCTTTTCAGCATAAATACTACCTTTTCTTTTTTTTTGCATTCTTTCAGTCATCTAAAATAAAATATCTTTTCATTAAATCTTTTCAGCGCGCATTCTTTCCAGTCATCTAAAATCTTTTCAGCCTTCATTTTTTTTTTTTTGCATTCTTTCAGTCATTTAATCTTTTCAGCGCTAAATACTACCTTTTCTTTTTTTTTGCATTCTTTCAGTCATCTAAAATCTTTTCAGTGCTAAATACTACCTTTTCTTTTTTTTGCATTCTTTCAGTCATCTAAAATCTTTTCAGTGCTAAATACTACCTTTTCTTTTTTTTTTGCATTCTTTCAGTCATCTAAAATCTTTTCAGCGCTAAATACTACCTTTTCTTTTTTTTGCATTCTTTCAGTCATCTAAAATCTTTTCAGCGCTAAATACTACCTTTTCTTTTTTTGCATTCTTTCAGTCATCTAAAATCTTTTCAGCGCTAAATACTTTTCTTTTTTTTTTTGCATTCTTTCAGTCATCTAAAATCTTTTCAGCTAAATACTACCTTTTCTTTTTTTGCATTCTTTTTTCTTTCTTTTTTTTTTTTTTCTTTTTTCAGTCATCTAAAATCATTTTTCTTTTCAGTGCTAAATACTACCTTTTCTTTTTTTGCATTCTTTCAGTCATCTAAAATCTTTTCAGCGCTAAATACTACCTTTTCTTTTTTTTTTCTTTCAGTCATCTAAAATCTTTTTCAGCGCTAAATACTACCTTTTTCTTTTTTTTTGCATTCTTTCAGTCATCTAAAATTCTCACCTTTTCTTTTTTTTGCATTCTTTCAGTCATCTAAAATCTTTTTCAGCGCTAAATACTTTTTCTTTTTTGCATTCTTTCAGTCATCTAAAATCTTTTTCAGGTGCTAAATACTACCTTTTCTTTTTTTTTCATTCTTTCAGTCATCTAAAATCTTTTCAGTGCTAAATACTACCTTTTCTTTTTTTTTTTTTTCTTTCAGTCATCTAAAATCTTTTCGGCAAAATACTACCTTTTCTTTTTTTTTTTTTGTTCTTTCAAATACTACCTTTTTTTTTTTTTTTTTTTGCATTCTTTCAGTCATTTAAAATCTTTTCAGTGCTAAATACTACCTTTTCTTTTTTTCCATTCTTTCAGTCATCTAAAATCTTTTCAGCGCTAAATACTACCTTTTTTGTTTTTTTTTGCATTCTTTCAGTCATCTAAAATCTTTTCAGCGCTAAATACTACCTTTTCTTTTTTTTGCATTCTTTCAGTCATCTAAAATCTTTTCAGCGCTAAATACTACCTTTTCTTTTTTTTGCATTCTTTCAGTCATCTAAAATCTTTTCAGCGCTAAATACTACCTTTTCTTTTTTTTTTCATCAAAAATCCTTCATTCTTTTTCAGTTTTTTGCATTCTAAAATCTTTTTTCAGCCTAAATACTACATTTCCTTTTTTTTGCATTTTTCTAAAATTTTCAGCATTACTTTTTTTTTTTTGCATTCTTTCATCTTTTTCAGCGCCAAATACTTCCCTTTTTTTTTTTTTGCATTCTTTCAGTCATCTAAAAATCTTTTCAGCGCTAAATACTACCTTTTCTTTTTTTGCATTCTTTCAGTCATCTAAAATCTTTTCAGCGCTAAATACTACCTTTTTCTTTTTTTTTTTTCAGTCATCTAAAATCTTTTCAAATAAATACTCCTTTTTTTTTTTTTGCTTTCTTTCAGTCATCTAAAAATCTTTTCAGCGCTTTACTACCTTTTTCTTTTTTTTTTCAGTCATCTAAAATCTTTTCAGCGCTTCATTCTTTTTCTTTTTTTTGCATTGTTTCAGTCATCTAAAATCTTTTCAGCGCTAAATACTACCTTTTCTTTTTTTTTTTGCATTCTTTCAGTCATCTAAAATCTTTTCAGTGCTAAATACTACCTTTTCTTTTTTTTGCATTCTTTCAGTCATCTAAAATCTTTTCAGTGCTAAATACTACCTTTTCTTTTTTTTTTTTTTGCATTCTTTCAGTCATCTAAAATCTTTTCAGCGCTTTTTTTTGCACTATCTTTTTTTTTTTTTCTTTTTTTCAGTCATCTAAAATCTTTTCAGCGCTAAAATACTTTTTTTTCTTTTTTTTTGCATTCTTTCAGTCATCTAAAAATCTTTTCAGCGCTAAATACCTTTTCTTTTTTTTTTTGCATTCCTTTTCTTTTTTTTGCTATCTTTTCTTTTTTGCATTCTTTCAGTCATCTAAAAATCATCTAAAACTACCTTTTCTTTTTTTTTTTTCAGTCATCTCTTTCAGTCATCTAAATATCTTTTTCGCAAAAATATTTTCAGTTTTTTTTTTGCATTCTTTCAGTCATCTAAAATCTTTTCAGTGCTAAATACTACCTTTTCTTTTTTTTTTTGCATTCTTTCAGTCATCTAAAATCTTTTCAGCGCTAAATACTTTTCTTTTTTTTTTTGCATTCTTTCAGTCATCTAAAATCTTTTCAGCATAAATACTATCTTTTCTTTTTTATTCTTTCAGTCATTTAAAATCTTTTCAAAATACTACCTTTTTCTTTTTTTTTGCATTCTTTTTCAGTCATCTAAAATAAATACTTTTTCTTTTTTTTGCATTCTTTCAATCTAAAATCTTTTTCAGCCTTTTTTTTTTTTTGCATTCTTTCAGTCATCTAAAATCTTTTCAGCGCTAAATACCTTTTTCTTTCTTTTTTTGCATTCTTTCAGTCATCTAAAATCTTTTCAGCGCCAATCTACCTTTTTTTTTTTGCATTCTTTCAGTCATCTAAAATCTTTTCAGCGCTAAATACTACCTTTTCTTTTTTTTGCATTTTTTTCAGTCATCTAAAATCTTTTCAGTGCTAAATATTACCTTTTTCTTTTTTTGCATTCTTTCAGTCATCTAAAATCTTTTCAGCGCTAAATACTACCTTTTCTTTTTTTTTGCATTCTTTCAGTCATTTAAAATCTTTTCAGCGCTAAATACTACCTTTTCTTTTTTTGCATTGTTTCAGTCATTAAAAATTTTTCAGCATTCTTTTTCTTTTTTGCATTCTTTCGTCATCTAAAATCTTTTCAGCGCTAAATACTACCTTTTCTTTTTTTTGCATTCTTTCAGTCATCTAAAAATCTTTTTCAGCGCTAAATACTACCTTTTCTTTTTTTTGCATTCTTTCAGTCATCTAAAATCTTTTTCAGTGCTAAATACTGCCTTTTCTTTCTTTTTTTTCAGTCATCTAAAATCTTTTTCAGTCATCTAAATCTAAAATCTTTTCATCTAAAATGCGCTAAATACTTTTTCTTTTTTTTTTTGATTCTTTCAGTCATCTAAAATCTTTTCAGCGCTAAATACTACCTTTTCTTTTTTGCATTCTTTCAGTCATCTAAAATCTTTTCAGTGCTAAATACTACCTTTTCTTTTTTGCATTCTTTCCAGTCATCTAAAATCTTTCCAGCTAAATACTACCTTTTCTTTTTTTTTTATTCTTTCAGTCATCTAAAATCTTTTCAGTGCTTCATCTACCTTTTCTTTTTTTTGCATTCTTTCAGTCATCTAAAATCTTTCAGTGCTAAATACTACCTTTTCTTTTTTTGCATTCTTTCAGTCATTTAAAATCTTTTCAGCGCTAAATACTACCTTTTCTTTTTGCATTCTTTCAGTCATCTAAAATCTTTTTCGCTAAATACTACTTTTCTTTTTTTTTTTTTGCATTCTTTCAGTCATCTAAAATCTTTTCAGCGCTTTTTTTTCTTTTTTTCTTTCAGTCATCTAAAATCTTTTCAGCGCTAAATACTTCCTTTTTCTTTTTTTGCATTCTTTTCATCATTTAAAATCTTTTCAGTGCTAAATCTACCTTTTCGTTTTTTTGCATTCTTTCAGTCATCTAAAATCTTTTCAGCGCTAAATACTACCTTTTCTTTTTTTTTTTGCATTCTTTCAGTCATCTAAAATCTTTTCAGCGCTAAATACTACCTTTTTTCTTTTTTTTTTTGCATTCTTTCAGTCATCTAAAAATCTTTTTTTACGCTAAATAGTACCTTTTCTTTTTTTTTTTTCTTTCATCATCTGAAATCTTTCAGCGCTAAATACCATTTCTTTTTTGCATTCTTTCAGTCATCTAAAATCTTTTCAGCGCTAAATACTTTTTCTTTTTTTTCTTTCAGTCATTCTTTCAGTCATCTACCTTTTCTTTTTTGAGCGCTTTCATCATCTACCTTTTTCATCTTTTTTTCTTTTTTTGCATTCTTTTCAGTCATCTTTCAAAATCTTTTTCAGTGTCTCTAAATACTACCTTTTCTTTTTTTGCATTCTTTCAGTCATCTAAAATCTTTTCAGCGCTAAATACTACCTTTTCTTTTTTTTTGCATTCTTTCAGTCATTTAAAATCTTTTCAGCGCTAAATACCCTTTCTTTTTTTGCATTCTTTCAGTCATCTAAAATCTTTTCAGTGCTAAATACTACCTTTCTTTTTTTGTTCTTTCAGTCATCTAAAAAATCATTTCAGCGCTAAATTACCTTTTTCTTTTTTTTTTTATTCTTTCAGTCATCTAAAATCTTTTTCAGTGCTAAATACTACTTTTCTTTTTTTTGCGTTCTTTTCAGTCATCTAAAAATCTTTCCAGCGCTAAATAGTACCTTTTTTTTTTTTTTTTGCATTCTTTTCAGTCATTTGAAATCTTTTTCAGTACTAAATACCACCTTTTCTTTTTTTTTCTTTTCAGTCATCTAAAATCTTTTCATCGCTAAATACTACCTTTTCTTTTTTTTTTTTTGCATTCTTTCAGTCATTTAAAATCTTTTTCAGTGCTAAATAATACCTTTTCATTTTTTTTTTTCTTTCAGTCATTTAAAAATCTTTTTGCAGCTTTCAGCATAAAATATTTTCTACCTTTTCTTTTTTTTTGCATTTTTTTCAGTCATCTAAAATCTTTTCAGCGCTAAATACTACCTTTTCTTTTTTTTTTTGCATTCTTTCAGTCATCTAAAATCTTTTCAGCGCTAAATACTTCCTTTCTTTTTTTTTTTTTCTTTCAGTCATCTCAAAATCTTTTCAGCGCTAAATACTACCTTTTCTTTTTTTTTGCATTCTTTCAGTCATCCCGTCTTTTCAGTGCTAAATACTACCTTTTCTTTTTTTTCTTTCAGTCATCTAAATCTTTCAGCATAAATACTACCTTTTTCTTTTTTACATTCTTTCAGTCATCTAAATCTTTTCAGCTTCATCTTTTTCTTTTTTTGCGTTCTTTCAGTCATCGAAAATTTTCAGCGCTAAATACTACCTTTTCTTTTTTTTGCATTCTTTCAGTCATCTAAAATCTTTTCAGCGCTAAATACTACCTTTTCTTTTTTGAGTTCTTTTCAGTCATCTAAAATCTTTTCAGCGCTAAATATTACCTTTTCTTTTTTTTTGCATTCTTTCAGTCATCTAAAATCTTTTTTGCATTCTTTCTTCAATCTTTCACTACCTTTTCTTTTTTTTGCATTCTTTCCAGTCATCTAAAATCTTTTCAGCGCTAAATACTACCTTTTCTTTTTTTTCTTTTCAGTCATTTAAAAATCTTTTCAGCGCTAAATACTACCTTTTCTTTTTTTGCATTCTTTCAGTCATCTAAAATCTTTTCAAAATACTTTTTTTTTGCATTCTTTCAGTCATCTAAAATCAGCGCTAAATACTACCTTTTCTTTTTTTTTTTTGATTCTTTCAGTCATCTAAAATCTTTTCAGTGCTAAATACTACCTTTTCTTTTTTTGCATTCTTTCAGTCATCTAAAATCTTTTCAGCGCTAAATCTACCTTTTTTTTTTTCATTCTTTCAGTCATTTTCTTTTCAGCAATTTTTCTTTTTTGCATTCTTTCAGTCATTCCGTCTTTTCAGTGCTAAATAATACCTTTTTTTTTTTTTCTTTCATCATCTTTTTTCAGTCAAATACTCTTTTTTTTTTGCATTCTTTCAGTCATCTAAATATCTTTTTTCAGCGCTAAATTCCTTTTTTTCTTTTTTGCATTCTTTCAGTCATCTAAAAATCTTTTCAGCGCCTAAATACTACCTTTTCTTTTTTTTTTGCATTCTTTCAGTCATCTAAAATATTTTCAGCATAAATACTACCTTTTCTTTTTTTGCATTCTTTCAGTCATCTAAAATCTTTTCAGCTAAATACTACCTTTTCTTTTTTTTTCAGTCATTCTTTTCAGTCTAAATCTAAAAAAAAATCTTTTCAGTACTAAATACCCTTTTCTTTTTTTTTTTTTTTTGCATTCTTTCAGTCATCAAAATCTTTTCAGCGCTAAATACTACCTTTTCTTTTTTTTTGCATTCTTTCAGTCATCTAAAATCTTTTCAGCGCTAAATACTACCTTTTCTTTTTTTTTACATTCTTTCAGTCATCTAAAATCTTTTTCAGCGCTAAATACTACCTTTTCTTTTCTTTTTTTTGCATTCTTTCAGTCATCTAAAATCTTTCAGCGCTAAATACTACCTTTTCTTTTTTTGCATTCTTTCAGTCATCTAAAATCTTTTCAGCACTAAATACTACCTTTTCTTTTTTGCATTCTTTCAGTCATCTAAAATCTTTTTCACCTTTTCTTTTTTTTTTTGCATTCTTTCAATACTTTTCAGCCATTTACTTTTCTTTTTTTTTTTTTGCATTCTTTCAGTCATCTAAAATCTTTTCTGCGCTAAATACTACCTTTCTTTTTTTGCATTCTTTCAGTCATCTAAAAAATCTTTTTCAGCGCTAAATACTACCTTTTCTTTTTTTGCATTCTTTCAGTCATCTAAAATCTTTTCAGCGCTAAATACTACCTTTTCTTTTTTTGCATTCTTTCAGTCATCTAAAATTTCTTTTTTTTTTTTGATTCTCAGTCTCTAAAATCTTCTCAGTGCTTTTTTTTTTTTTTTTGCATTCTTTCAGTCATCTAAAATCTTTTTCTGCTAAATACTACCTTTTCTTTTTTTTCGTTCTTTCCAGTCATCTCTAAAATCTTTTTCAGTGCTAAAATACTACCTTTTTCTTTTTTTTGCATTCTTTCAGTCATCTAAAATCTTTTTCAGTGCTAAATACTTTTTCATTTTGCTTTCTTTCAGTCATCTAAAATCATTTTTCAGTGCTAAATTCCTTTTCTTTTTGCATTCTTTCAGTCATCTAGTATTCTCAGCCTTCAAATACTACCTTTTCTTTTTTTTTTTTGCATTCTTCAGTCATTTCAAATCTTTCCGCCAATTTACCTTTTTTTTTTTTTCGTTCTTTCAGTCATCTAAAAATCTTTTCAGCGCTAAATACTACCTTTTTTTTTGCATTCTTTCAGTCATCTAAAATCTTTTCAGCGCTAAATACCTTTTCTTTTTTTTTTTTGCATTCTTTCAGTCATCTTAAAATCTTTTTCAGTCTAAATAATTCCTTTTCAATTTTTTCTTTCAGTCATCTCAAATCTTTTTCAGTGCTAAATACTACCTTTTCTTTTTTTTTTGCATTCTTTCAGTCATCTAAAATCTTTTCAGCGCTAAATACTACCTTTTCTTTTTTGCATTCTTTCAGTCATCTAAATCTTTTCAAATCTTTTCAAATACTACAACTTTTTTTTTTTTTGCATTCTTTCAGTCATCTAAAATCTTTTCAGCGCTTTATTGTACCTTTTCTTTTTTTTTTTTACATTCTTTTCAGTCATCTAAAATCTTTTCAGTGCTCAAATCTGCCTTTTCTTTTTTTGTTTCATTCTTTCAGTCATCTCAAATCTTTTCAGCGCTAAATACCACCTTTTCTTTTTTTTGCGTTCTTTCAGTCATCTAAAATCTTTTCAGCGCTAAATACTACCTTTTCTTTTTTTTGCATTCTTTCAGTCATCTAAAATCTTTTTTTTTTTTTTTTTTGCATTCTTTCAGTCATCTAAAATCTTTTCAGCCCTAAATACTACCTTTTCTTTTTTTGCATTCTTTCAGTCATCTAAAATCTTTTCAGCGCTAAATACTACCTTTTCTTTTTTTTTTGCATTCTTTCAGTCATCTAAATCTTTCAAATCGCGCTAAATACTACCTTTTCTTTTTTTTTGCATTCTTTCAGTCATCTAAAATCTTTTCAGCGCTAAATACTACCTTTTCTTTTTTTGCATTCTTTTCAGTCATCTAAAAATTTTTTCAGCGCTAAATCTACCTTTTCTTTCTTTTTTTGCATTCTTTCAGTCATTTTCTTTCAGTGCTAAATACTACATTTTCTTTTTTTTTGCATTCTTTCAGTCATCTAAAATCTTTTCATTGCTAAATACTTTTTCTTTTTTTTTTTTTTTTTCAGTCATCTAAAATCTTTTCAGCGCTAAATACTACCTTTTCTTTTTTGCATTCTTTCAGTCATCTAAAATTTTCTTGCAATCTACCTTTTTTTTTTGCGTTCTTTCAGTCATCTAAAATCTTTTCAATGCTAAATACTACCTTTTCTTTTTTTTTGCATTCTTCAGTCATCTAAAATCTTTCCAGCGCTAAATACTACCTTTTCTTTTTTACATTCTTTCAGTCATCTAAATCTTTTCAGCGCTTTTTTTTTTTTTTGCATTCTTTCAGTCATCTAAAATCTTTCAGCGCTAAATACTACGCTTTCTTTTTTTTTTTTTATTCTTCAGTCATCTAAAATCTTTTCAGTGCTAAATACTGTTTTTTTCTTTTTTGCATTCTTTTCAGTCATCTAAATCTTTTCAGCGCTAAATACTTCCTTTTCTTTTTTTTTCATTCTTTCAGTCATCTCAAATCTTTTCAGCGTAAATGCTACCTTTTCTTTTTTTGCATTCTTTCCAGTCATCTATAATCTTTTTCATCTTCAAATACCTTTTCTTTTTTTTTTTGCATTCTTTTCAGTCATTTAAAATCTTTTCAGTGCCAAATAGCTACCTTTTTCTTTTTTGCATTCTTTCAGTCATCTAAAATCTTTTGGTACTAATAGTACCTTTTCTTTTTTTTTTTTTTTTGCATTCTTTTCAGTCATCTAAAATCTTTCAGTGCTCAATACTACCTTTTCTTTTTTGCATTCTTTCAGTCTCTAAAATCTTTTCAGCGCTAAATACTACCTTTTCCTTTTTTTTAGTCATCTTCAGTCATTTTTCAGCGCTAATCTTCCTTTTCTTTTTTTTGCGTTCTTTCAGTCATCTCAATCCCTTTCAGCGCTAAATACTACCTTTTCTTTTTTTTTTTCTTTCAGTCATCTAAAATCTTTTCAGCGCTAAATACTACCTTTTCTTTTTCTTGAGTTCTTTCAGTCATCTAAATCTTTTCAGCGCTAAATACTACCTTTTCTTTTTTTTGCATTCTTTCAGTCATCTAAATCTTTTTCTGCTAAATACTGCCTTTTCTTTCTTTTTGTTCTTTCAGTCATCTGAAATCTTTTCAGCGCTAAATACTACCTTTTTCTTTTTTTGCATTCTTTCAGTCATCTAAAATCTTTTCCAGTGCTAAATACTACTTTTTCGTTTTGCATTCTTTCCAGTCATCTAAAATCATTTTCAGCGCTAAATATTTTCTTTTTTTTTTTGAATTCTTTCAGTCATCTAAATCTTTTCAGCGCTAAATACCACGCTTTTCTTTTTTTTTGCGTTCTTTCCGTCATCTAAAATCTTTTTCAGTGCTAATACTACCTTTTCTTTTTTTTTTTCATTCTCAGTCATTTGAAATCTTTTCAGTGCTAAATACTACCTTTTCTTTTTTTGCATTCTTTCAGTCATCTTAAATCTTTCATCGCTAAATACTTTTGCTTTTTCATTTTTTTTTTTTCAGCGTTTTCTTTTTGCATTCTTTCAGTCATTTTAAAATCTTTTCAGTGCTAAATAATACCTTTTTTTTTTTTTTTGCATTCTTTTCAGTGCTAAATACTAAAAGCTTTTCAGTGCTAAAAAATGTATTGAAACAAAGAATAGGTACACAATATTACAGTTAGTTTTTATTCTTGGAGACTGTTTCACTCATCTAAAATCTAAATCGCAGTCGGGCAGAGTCTCCTAAATTTTACCTTTTCTTTTTTTGCATTTATATGGTCGGTAGTCGCTTATGTAAAATCTTTTCATACAACAACTACCTTTTTCGTTTTGCATTCTTTCAGTCATCGTCATTTCAGCGCTAAATACTACCTTTTCTTTTTTTTGCATTCTTTCAGTCATCAAAATCTTTTTCGGCGCTAAATATATCTTTTCTTTTTTCTTTCAGTCATCTAAAATCTTTTCAGCGCTAAATACTTCCCTTTTCTTTTTTTACATTCTTTCAGTCATCTCCAAATCTTTTCAGCGCTAAATTGTACCTTTTCTTTTTTTTTTTTTGCATTCTTTTCAGTCGTCTAAAAATCTTTTCAACCAAATACTTTACCTTTTCTTTTTTTTGCATTCTTTCAGTCATCTAAAAATCTTTTCAGCGCTAAATAGAACCTTTTCCTTTTTTTTTTTTTCTTTTTCAGTCGTCTAAAATCTTTTTCTTGCTAAAATACTACCTTTTCTTTTTTGCATTTCTTTCAGTCATCGAAAATTTTTTCAGCTTCATCTGCCTTTTCTTTTTTTGCGTTCTTTCAGTCATCTAAAATCTTTTCAGCGCTAAATACTACCTTTTCTTTTTCTTGCGTTCTTTCAGTCATCTAAAATCGTTTCAGCACTAAATACTGCCTTTTCTTTTCTTGCGTTCTTTCAGTCATCAAATCTTTTCAGCGCCATTACCTTTTCTTTTCTTGCGTTCTTTCAGTCATCTCAAATCTTTTCAGCGCTAAATACTGCCTTTTCTTTTTTTTGCATTCTTTCGGTCATCTAAAAATCTTTTCAGTGCTAAATACTACCTTTTCGTTTTTGAGTTCTTTCGGTCATCTAAAAATCATTTCTGCTAAATACTACCTTTTCTTTTTTTTGATTCTTTCAGTCATCTAAAATCTTCTCCAGCGCTAAATACTACTTTTTTTCTTTTTTTTGCGTTCTTTCAGTCATCAAAATCTTTTTCGGTGCTAAATTCGTCTACTTTTCGTTTTTTCATTCTTTCAGTCATCTCAAATCATTTCAGTGCTAATACTACCTTTTCTTTTTTTTTTTTTGATTCTTTCAGTCATCTAAAATCTTTTTGGCGCTAAATACTACTTTTCTTTTTTATTTTTTGCATTCTTTCAGTCATTAAAATCTTTTCAGTGCTAAATAATACCTTTTCATTTTTGCATTCTTTCCAGTCATCTAAAATCTTTTTCAGTGCTAAATCTACTTTTTCTTTTTGCATTCTTTCAGTCATTTTAAAATCATTTTCAGTGCTAAATACTACCTTTTCTTTTTTTTTTTTCAGTCATCTAAAATCTTTTCAGTGCTAAATCTAAAAAAATCTTTTCAGCGCTAAAATACTACCTTTTCTTTTTTTTGCATTCTTTCAGTCATTAAATCTTTTTCAGCGCCAAATACTACCTTTTCTTTTTTTTGCATTCTTTCAGTCATCTAAAAATCTTTTCAGCGCTAAATACTTTACCTTTTCTTTTTTTTTTTCTTTTCATCTAAAATCTTTTCAGCGCTAAATACTACTTTTCTTTTTTTTGCATTCTTTTTCATCTAAAATCTTTTCAGTGCTAAATACTACCTTTTTCTTTTTTTCATTCTTTCAGTCAGTCATTTAAAATCTTTTCAGTTTCTTTTTTTTTTTGCATTCTTTCAGTCATCTAAAAAATTTTCGGCGCTAAATACTACCTTTTCTTTTTTTTTGCATTCTTTCAGTCATTTAAAATCTTTCAGCGCTAAATAATACTTTTCATTTTTGCATTCTTTTCAGTCATCTAAAATCTTTTTCAGCATAAATACTACCTTTCGTTTTTTGCATTCTTTCAGTCTCTAAAATCTTTTCAGCGCTAAATACTACCTTTCTTTTTTTTTTTTCTTTCAGTCATCTAAAATCTTTTCAGTGCTAAATACTACCTTTTTCTTTTTTTTGCGTTCTTTCAGTCATCTAAAATCTTTTCAGCGCTAAATACTACCTTTTTCTTTTTTTGCATTCTTTCAGTCATTTTAAAATCTTTTCAGTGCTAAATACTACCTTTTTCTTTTTGCATTCTTTCAGTCATCTAAAATCTTTTCAGCGCTAAATACTTTTCTTTTTTTTTTTTTTTGATTCTTTTCTTGTTTCTTCTAAAATCTTCTCAGCGCTAAATACTACCTTTTCTTTTTTTTGCATTCTTTCAGTCTGTCTAAAATCTTTTCGGTGCTAAATACTACCTTTTCGTTTTTTGCTTTCTTTCAGTCATTTAATCTTTTCGGCTGCTAAATACCTTTTTCTTTTTTTTTTTTGGTTCTTTCAGTCATCTAAAAATCTTTTTCTTTTTTGCTTCTTTCAGTCACCTTTTTTCATTTTTTTTTTTTTGCTTTCTTTCAGTCATTTGAAAATCTTTTCTGCTAAATACACCTTTTCTTTTTGCATTCTTTCCAGTCATCTAAATCTTTTCATTTGCTAAATACCACCATTTTTTTTTTACTAACTCAGTCATTTAAAATACTTTTCAGTGTTAATATATATTTCATTTTTTGTTCTTCAGTCATCTAAAATCTTTTCAGTGCTAAATACTACCTTTCATTTTGCATTCTTTTTCTTTCAGTCATCTAAAATCTTTTTCAGCGCTAAATACTTCCTTTTTTTTTTTTTTTTTCTTTCAGTCATCTCAAATCTTTCATCGCTAAAAACTACCTTTTCTTTTTTTTTGCATTCTTTCAGTCATCCGAAATCTTTTCAGCGCTTACTACCTTTTTTTTTTGCATTCTTTCAGTCATCTAAAATCTTTTTTCAGCGCTAAATACTACCTTTTTTTTTTTTTTTTTTTCAGCATTCTTTTTTCATTCATCTAAAATCTTTTTCAGCGCTAAATACTACCTTTTCTTTTTTTTTTTTCAGTCATTTAAAATCTTTTCAGTCAAATACTACCTTTTTTTTTTTTTGAATTCTTTCAGTTCTAAAAATCTTTTCAGCGCCAAATACTACCTTTTCTTTTTTTGCATTCTTTCAGTCATCTAAAAATCTTTTCAGCGCTTCAATACTACCTTTTCTTTTTTTTTTTTGCATTCTTTTCAGTCATCTAAAATCTTTTCAGCCTTCAATACTACCTTTTCTTTTTTTTTTGCATTCTTTCATTCATTACGTGTTTTCAGTGCTAAATACTACATTTTTCTTTTTTTTGCATTCTTTCAGTCGCCACGTCTTTTCAGTGCTAAATACTACCTTTTCTTTCTTTTTGCATACTTTCAGTCGTCTAAAATCTTTTCAGCTAAATACTACCTTTTCTTTTTTTGCATTCTTTCAGTCATCTAAATCATTTCAGCATAAATACTACCTTCTTTTTTTTTTGCATTCTTTCTTTCTTTTCTTTCTTTTCTTTCTAAATCTTTCTTTCATTTTTTGCATTCTTTTCTTCTGCTAAAATCTTTTTCATCTTTCTTTCTAACCTTCCTTTTTTTTTGCATTCTTTCTGTTTTCTTTCTTTCTTTCTTTCTTTCATTCTTTCTTTCAGGTATTTCATCATCTTTTTTTCTAACCTTCCTTTTTTGCATTCTCTGTTTTTTCAGCTTTCATCTTTTTTTTTTTCATTCTTTCTTTCAGGTATTTCATCATTTTCTTTTTTCTTTAGTCATCTAAATCTTTTCTTTTTTTTTTTTTTTTTTCTTTCTTTTAAAATCTTTCATTCTTTTTTTCTTTTTTTGCATTTTCATCATCTTTCTTTTCTAACCTTCCTTTTTTTGCTTTTACTTTTTTTTTTTCTTTCTTTTCAGTCATTCAAATCTTTTTGCTTTCTTTCAGGTTCTTTTTGCATTCTTTGCTTTCTAAAATCCTTTTTTTGCATTCTTTCTGTTTTCTTTCTTTCTTTCTTTCTTTCATTCTTTCTTTCAGGTATTTCATCATCTTTCTTTCTAACCTTCCTTTTTTTTGCATTCTTTCTGTTTTCTTTCTTTCTTTCTTTCATTCTTTCTTTCTTTCTTTCAGGTATTTCATCATCTTTCTTTCTAACCTTCCTTTTTTTGCATTCTTTGTTTTTTCTGCGCTTCTTTCTTTCATTTCTTTTTTTCAAGGTATTTCATCATCTTTTTTTCTAACCTTCCTTTTTTTTCATTTTTTTTCATTCTTTCTTTCTTTCATTCTTTCTTTCAGGTATTTCATCATCTTTCTTTCTAACCTTCCTTTTTTTTGCATTCTTTCTTTCTTTCTTTCTTTCTTTCAGTCTTTCTTTCTTTTCTTTTTTTTGCGTTTTTCTTTCTTTTCAGTACTAAATTTTATCATTCTTTCTTTCTTTCAGTGTTTTGAAATTTTTTTTTGCATTCTTTTCTTTTTTCATTCTTTCTTTTCTTTCTTTTTCATTCTTTCTTACTTATTTTTCATCTTTTTTTCTTCTTTTCAGTCCTTTAAAATCTTTTCAGTGCTCTTTCTGTTTTCATTTTTTTCTTTCTTTCATTCTTCTCTTTTCAGTGCTAAATTTCATCATAAGCATTTACAACTGTACGATTTCCTTTTTTGCATTCTTTCTTTGTAGTCATTCTTTCTTTCCTGCATAATGGTATTTCATCATCTTTCTTTCTCTATCTTCCTTTTTTTTTTGTTATATTTCTTTCTTCTCTTTCCATTTTTTTCTTTCTTTCTTTCAGTCATCTAAAAATCATTTTCTAACCTTAAATTTCTTTTTCTTTTTTTTTTTCTTTCTTTATTTCATTTAAATACTTCTTTTATTTCAGGTCTCCATTTCTAAATCTTTTCACCTTGCAATTTTTTTTTACATTCTTTCAGTCATTTTCTTTCTTTCTTTCTTTCTTTTGTTTCTTTTTCTTTTTTTTTTTTTTTTGCATTCTTTCAGTCCCTAAAATTTCCTTCTTTCTTTTTCTTTTTTTGCTTTCTTTCAGTCATCTTTGTTCAGCGCTAAATCCTTCCTTTTTTTTCTTTCATTCATTCTTTCTTTTTTCTTGCATTCCAGACCTTTTCCATTTTCTTTTCTTTCCCTAACATTTTCAGCGCTAAATTACCTTTTCTTTTTTGCATTCTTTCAGTCATATACGTCTTCTCAGCATACATGCTACCTTTTCTTTTTCTTGCGTTCTTTCAGTCATCGTCATTCAGCACTAAATACTACCTTTTCTTTTTCTTGCGTTCTTTCCAGTCATCTAAAATCTTTTCAGCGCTAAATACTACCTTTTCTTTTTTCTTTTTTCTTGGTCATCTCATTTCAGCGCTAAATACTACCTTTTTCTTTTTTTTTTTTTTTGCATTCTTTCAGTCATCTAAAATCTTTTTCAGTGCTAAATACTACCTTTTTCGTTTTTGCATTCTTTCAGTCATCTAAAATCATTTCAGCGCTAAATACTACCTTTTCTTTTTTTTGATTCTTTCAGTCATCTAAAAATCTTCTCGGTGCTAAATACTACTTTTTCTTTTTTGCGTTCTTTCAGTCACCTAAGTCTTTTCAGTGCTAAATACTACCTTTTCTTTCTTTTTCATTCTTTCAGTCATTTAAAATCTTTCAGTGCTAAATACTACCTTTTCTTTTTTTGCATTCTTTCTCAGTCATCTAAATCTTTTGCTTCATCTACCTTTTCTTTTTATTTTTTGCATTCTTTCAGTCATTTAAAATCTTTTTCAGTGCTAAATAATACCTTTTCATTTTTGCATTCTTTCAGTCATCGTCTTTTTCATTTTAAATACCTTTTCGTTTTGCATTCTCAGTCATCTAAAAATCATTTTCAGCGCTAAATACTACCTTTCTTTTTTTGATTTTTGCATTAAATGCTTTTTACTAAATTTTCTTTTTCTTTTTTTTTTCTCTTCTTTCTTTACTACCTTTTCTTTTGCATTCTTTCAGTCATTTCATCATTTCAGTGCTAAATACTACCTTTTTTTTTGCATTCTTTCTTTTCTTTTCAGCTTTAAATACTACGCTTTTCTTTTTTTGATTCTTTCAGTCATTTAAATCTTCTCATTCTTTTTTTTTTTTTCTTTTCAGTCACCTTTTTTTCAGTGCTAAATACCTTTTCTTTCTTTTTCATTCTTTTCATTTACTTTTCAGTGCTAAATACTTTTTTTTGCATTCTTTCTGTCATCCGAAAATCTTTTGGCGCTAAATACTTTCTTTTCTTTTTTTTTTTTGAATTCTTTCAGTTCTTTTAACCTTCCTTTTTTTTGCTAAATTCTGTTTTTCATTTTTTTTTTTTTCTTTTCTTTCATTTTTCTTTTCTTTCAGTCATCATATTTCAGCATCATCTTTTTTTTTTTTAACCTTTCCTTTTTTTTTTTCTCATTCTTTTCTTTCTTTCTTTTCTTTTTTTTTGCGTTCTTTCAGGTATTTTCAGCCTTCATCTTTTTCTTTTTAACCTTCCTTTTTTTGCTATTCTTTTCTTTTACTTTTGCATTCTTTTCATTCATCTTCTTTCTTTCAGGTATTTTATCATCTTTTCTTTCTAAGCCTTTTGCAGTATCTCTTTTCTGTTTTCTTTTCTTTCTTTCTTTTTCTTTTGGATTCTTTCTTTCAGGTATTTTCATCTTTTGCGCTAAATACTACCTTTTTTTTTTTTTTTTTTTGCATTCTTTCAGTCATCTAAAATCTTTTCAGCGCAAAATACTACCTTTTTTTTTTTTGCATTCTTTCAGTCATCTAAAATCTTTTCAGCGCTAAATACTTTTTTTTTTTTTTTTTGCATTCTTTCAGTCATCTAAAATCTTTTCAGCGCTAAATACTACCTTTTTCTTTTTTTTTTTGCATTCTTTCAGTCATCTCAAAAAATCTTTTCAGCGCTAAATACTTTTTTTTTTTTTTGCATTCTTTCAGTCATCTAAAATCTTTTTCAGCGCTAAATACTTTTTTTTTTTTTTTTTTTTTAATTCTTTCAGTCCAAATACTAAATTTTTTTTTTTTTTTTGCGTTCTTTCAGTCATCTAAAATCTTTCCAAAATACTTTTTTTTTTTTTTTGCATTCTTTCAGTCATCTAAAATCTTTTTCAGCGCTAAATACTACCTTTTTTTTTTTTTTGCATTCTTTCAGTCATCTAAAATCTTTTCAGCGCTAAATACTTTTCCTTTTTTTTTTTTTTTTTCAGCATTCTTTCAGTCATCTAAAATCTTTTTCAGCGCTAAATACTACCTTTTTCTTTTTTTTTTTTTTCTTTCAGTCATTTCATCTAAATTTTTCAGCGCTAAATTTTACCTTTTCTTTTTTTTGCATTCTTTCAGTCATCTAAATCTTTTCCTTTTTTTTTTTTTTTTTTTGCATTCTTTCAGTCATCTAAAATCTTTTCAGCGCTAAATACTACCTTTTTCTTTTTTTGCATTCTTTCAGTCATCTAAAAATCTTTTTTCAGTGCTAAAATAGTTTTTTTTTTTTTTTTTTCATTCTTTTTCAGTCATCTAAAATCTTTTCAGCGCTTCAATACTTTTTTTTTTTTTTTTTTTTGCATTCTTTCAGTCATCTAAAATCTTTTCAGTGCTAAATACTACCTTTTCTTTTTTTTTTTTTCTTTCAGTCATCTAAAATCTTTTTCAGTGCTAAATACTACCTTTTCTTTTATTGCATTTTCAGTCATCTAAAATCTTTTCAGTCTTTTAAATACTACCTTTTCTTTTTTTGCATACTTTCAGTCATTTAAAATCTTCAGTGCTAAATACTGCTTTTCTTTTTTTTGCATTCTTCAGTCATCTAAAATCTTTCAGCCCTTTAATACTACCTTTTCTTTTTTTTTTTTGCATTCTTTCAGTCATTTAAATCTTTTCAGTGTTAAATACTGCCATTTTATTTTTTTGCATTCCTTTCAGTCATCCTAAAAAAATCTTTTCAGCTAAATATTTTTCTTTTGCTTTCTTTCAGTCATTTAAAATCTTTTCAGCGCTTAAATACTACTTTTTCTTTTTTTGCATTCTAAAATCTTTCAGCATCTAAAATTTCTTTTTTTTTGCTAAAGTATCTACCTTTTTCTTTTTTTTTTTTTTTCTTTCCGTCTTCTAAAATCATTTCAGCGCAAAATACTGCCTTTTCATCTTTTTTCAGCGCTAAATTTTTTCTTTTCTTGCGTTCTTCCATCATCAAATCTTTCAGCGCTAAATACTACCTTTTCTTTTTTTTTTGCTTTCATTCTTCTCAGTCATCTATCTTGTCTTTTTCTTGCGTTCCTTTTTTTTTTTTTTTCATTCTTTTCTCAGTCATCTAAAATCTTTTCCAGCGCTTCAAATAATGCCTTTTCTTTTTTTTTTCTTTCAGTCATCTAAAATCTTTTCAGTCTAAATCTAAAATTTTCTTTTTCTTGCGTTTCTTTCAGTCTAAAAATCTACGCTTGCTACCTTTTTTTTTTGCATTTCTTTTCAGTCATCTAAAATCTTTTCAGCGCTAAATACTACCTTTTCTTTTTTTGCGTTCTTTCAGTCATCTAAAATCTTTTCAGCGCTAAATACTACCTTTTCTTTTTTTTGCATTCTTTCAGTCAAATCTAAAATTTATTTTTTGCAGCGCTAAATACTTTTTCACCTTTTCTTTTTTTTTTGCGTTCTTTCCAGTCATCTAAAAATCTTTTCAGCCTAAAATACTACCTTTTCTTTTTTTTTTGTTCTTTTCAGACATTTAAAATCTTTTCGGCGGCTAAATACTACCTTTTTTTTTTTTTGGCATTCTTTTGATCATCTAAAATCTTTTCAGCGCCAAATACTGCCTTTTTTTTTTTTGCATTCTTTCAGTCATCTAAAATCTTTTCAGCGCTAAATGCTAAATACTTTGCATTCTTTCAGTCATCGTTTTTTTTTTTTTTTTTTGCATTCTTTCAGTCATCTAAAATCTCTTTTCAGCACTAAATATCATCTTTTCTTTTTTTTTTTTTTGCATTCTTTAGTCATTTAAAATCTTTTTCAGCGCTAAATGCTACCTGTTATTTTTTTTTTGTTTTTCAGTCATTCATTTCAATTTTCTTTTTTTTGCATTCTTTCCATCATCTAAAATATTTTCTGCATTTTTTTTTTTTGCATTCTTTCAGTCATTTTAAAATTTTTTCAGTGCTAAATACTATCTTTTTTTTTTTTTTTTTGCATCTCTTTCACCTTGTCTTTTTTTTTTTGCATTTTTCAGTCATCTAAAATCTTTTTCAGCATTAATTTTTTTTTTTTTTACGTTCTTTCAGTCATTTAAAAATTTTTCAGTGTTAAATACTGCCTTTTTTCTTTTTTTTTGAACTTCTTTTCTAGTCATTTAAAATCTTTTTCAGTGCTAAATACTATTTCTTTTTTTCTTTCGCTTTCTTTTCAGTAAATACATCTTTTTTTAAATTCTTTTCAGCGCTTTTCCAGCGCTAAATACTTTTTTCTTTTTTTTTTTGCATTCTTTCAGACATCTAAATCTTTTTTCAGCGCTAAATACTACCTTTCTTTTTTTTTTTTGCATTCTTTCAGTCATTCTAAAATTCAACGATAAATACTTCCCTTTTTTTTTTTACATTCTGAATATCCAAAATCTTTTCAGCCTTTAAATACTACCTTTTCTTTCTTTTTTTTTTGCATTTCTCAGTCATCTAAAATATTTTTTTCTGCGCTAAATACTAGCTTTTTTTTTTTTTTTTTTGCATTCTTTCAGTCATCTAAAATCTTTTTTTCAATACCTTTCTTTTTCCGATACTAGTCATCTTTTTTACTTTTTTTTTTTTTTTTTTTTGTCTAAAATCTTTTCAGCGATAAAATCTTTTTTTTTTTACGATAATATCTAAAATTTTTCAGAACAAATACTTTTGCTTTTTTTTTGCATTCTTGATCATCTAAATCTTTTCAGTGCTAAATACTACCTTTTTTTTTTTTTTTTGCATGCTTTCAGTTATTTAAAATCTTTTCAGTGCTTTTTACTACCTTTTCTTTTTTTTTTTTTTTTTTTTTTTCAGTCCTTTTACCTTTTCTTTCTTTTTTTCTCAGGCTTTTAAAATCTTTTCAGTGCTAAATTTTTTTTTTTTTGCATTTTTCAGTCATCCAAAATCTTTTCAGCGCTAAATACTATTTTTTTTTTTTGCATTCTTTCAGTCATCTAAAATCTTTCAGCGCTAAATACTACCTTTTTTTTTTTTTTTTGATTCTTTCATTCCTTTTCTCAGTCATCTAAAATTCTTTTTTTGCAGCGCAGTACTAAATTTTTTTTTTTTTTTTTTTTTTCATTCTCTTCTTTCATCTAAAATCTTTTTCAGTCATCTAAATACTAATTTTCTTTTTTTTTTTGCATTCTTTCAGTCATCTAAAAATTTTTTTTGGCCTTTAAATGCTAATTTTTCTTTTTTTGCATTCAGTCATCCAAATCTTGTCATCTTAAAATCTTTTTTTTTGCATTCTTTCAACATCTAAAATTTTATCAGCATAAATACTACCTTTTTCTTTTTTTGCATTCTTTCAGTCATCTAAATCTTTTCAGTGCTTTTTTTTTTTTTTGCATTCTTTCAGTCATCTAAAATCTTTTCAGTACTAAATACTACCTTTTCTTTTTTTTTTTTTTGCATTCTTTTCGGCATCTAAAATTTCTTTTTTTGCAGTCATCTAAAAAATATTTTTTAGCTTTTTTTTTTTTTTTTTTGCATCCTTTTCAGTCATCTAAAATCTTTTTCAGCGCTAAATACTACCTTTTCTTTTTTTTTTTTTTTTTTCATTTCTAAACATTTTTTTTTCATTTAAATTGCATTTCTTTTTTCAGTCATCTAAAAATCTTTTCAGCGCTTAAATACCACCTTTTTTTTTTTTTTGCATTCTTTCAGTCATCTAAAATCATTTTCAGCGCTAAATACTACCTTTTCTTTTTTTTTTGCATTCTTTCAGTCATCTAAAATCTTTTTCAGCGCTAAATACTACCTTTTCTTTTTTTTTTTTGCATTCTTTCAGTCATCTAAAATTTTCTTTTTTTCTGCATTCTTTCAGTCATCTAAATCTTTTCTTTTTTTTTTCTTTTTTTTTTTGCATCCTTTCAGTCAATCTTTTTCAGCGCTTTAAATACTATATTTTTTTTTTGCATTCTTTTAGTCATTTAATTCAGTCATCTAAAACTACCTTTTTCTTTATTGCATTTTCAGTCATCTAACTTTCAGTGCTAAATACCTTTTTTCTTTTTTTTATGTTCTTTCAGTCATCTTAAAATCTTTTTTCAGCGCTAACATTTTCTTTTTGCATTCTCAGTCTTTAAATCTTTTTTTTTTTTTTTTTTTTGCATTTAGTCATTTAAAATCTTTTCAGTGTTAAATACTTACCTTTTTTTCTTTTTTTTTTCAGTCATTTTTCTTTTCATCCCGCAATTTTTTTCTTTTTTGCTTTCTTTCAGTCATCTAAAAATCTTTTCAGCGCTAAATACTTTTTTTTTTTTGCATTTCTTTCAGACATCTAAAAATCTTCAGCGCTAAATACTACCTTTTTTTTTTTTTTTTGCATTCTTTCAGTCTTCCTCATCTAAAAAATCCTTTTTTTTTTTGCATTCTTTCAGTCTAAAATCTTGTCAGCGCCCATCTACCTTTTCTTTTTTTTTGCATTCTTTTCAGTCATCTAAATCTTTTCAGCATAAATACTACCTTTTCTTTTTTTGCATTCTTTCAGTCATCTAAAATCTTTTCAGCGCAAAACTACCTTTTCTTTTTTTTTTTTTTTTGCATTATCTTTTCAGTCTTTTTCTTTTTTTTGCATTCTTTCAGTCATTTCTTTTCAGTGCTAAATACTACCTTTTCTTTTTTTTTTGCATTCTTTCAGTCATCTAAAATCTTTTTCAGCGCTAACACATTTTTCTTTTTTTTTTTTTTTCATCTAAAAAATATTTTTAAATACTAAATTTATTTTTTTTTTGCATCCTTTTTCAGTCGTCTTTTTCAGCGCTAAATACTACCTTTTCTTTTTTTTTTTTTTTTTTGCATTCTTTTCATTTTATGTCATTTCAGGGCTAAAATGCTTTTCAGCGTTTCAATCCAAAATCTTTTCAGCATTTTCTTTTTTTTTGATTCTTTCAGTCATCTAAAATCTCAAAATACTACCTTTTCTTTTTTTTTTGCATTCTTTTCAGTCATCTAATCTTTTTTCTTTTTTTTTTTTTTTTTTGCATTCTTTCCAGTCATCTTTCCTTCATCTTTCTTTTTTTTGCATTCTTTCAGTCATAAATATTACTACTTTTTCTTTTTTTTGCATTCTTTCCAGTCATCTTTCAGTTTTTCATTTTTTTTTTGCAGCGCTTTTAAATACTTTCCTTTTTATCTTTTTTTTTTGTCCCCTTTCCAGTCATCTAAAATCTTTTCTTAGCGCTAACACTAATTCTTTTCTTTTTTTTTTGCGTTCTTTCAATATCTAAATCTTTCATTTCAGTGCTAAATACTACCTTTTATTTTTTTTTTTTTTTGCATTTTCAGTCATCTCAAATCTTTTTCAGCGCTAAATACTACCTTTTATTTTTTTTTTTACATGCTTTCAGTCATCTGAAATCTTTTTCAGTGCTAAATACTACATTTTCTTTTTTTTTGCATTCTTTTTCAGTCATCAAATCTTTTTTCAGTACTAAATACTACCTTTTCTTTTTTTTTGCATTCTTTCAGTCATTTAAAAATCATTTTCAGTATTAAATAGTACCTTTTTTTTTTTTTGCATTCTTTCAGTCATTATCTAAATCTTTTTCAGCGCTTAAATATCATCTTTTTCTTTTTTTTTTTTTTTTTTTTGCATTCTTTTCTTTTTACGTCATCTAAAATCTTTTCATTGCTAAATACTACCTTTTCTTTTTTTTTGCATTCTTTCAGTCATCTAAAATCTTTTTTCAGCGCTAAATACTACCTTTTTTTTTTTTTTGCATTCTTTTCAGTCATTAAAATCTTTTCAGTGCTAAATACTACCTTTTCTTTTTTTTTTGTCATTGTTTTCAGTCGTAAATAAAATCTTTTTTTCAGCATTTAAATACTACATTTTCTTTTTTGCATTCTTTCAGTCATCTAAAATATTTCAGCGCTAAATACTACCTTTTTTTTTTTTTGCATTCTTTCAGTCATCTAAAAATTTTTCAGCGCTAACACTACCTTTTCTTTTTTTTTTTTTCTTTCAGTCATCTAAAATCTTTTTTCAGCGCTAAATACTACCTTTTTTTTTTCTTTCTCTGTCATCTAAAAATCTTTTTTTTCAGCGCTAAATACTACCTTTTTTTTTTTGCATTCTTTTCAGTCATCTAAAATCTTTTTTCAGCACTAAATACTACCTTTTTTTTTTTTTTTTGCATTCTTTCAGTCATCTAAATCTTTTCAAAGGCTAAATACTACCTTTTCTTTTTTTTGCATTCTTTTTCAGAATATTTAAAATCTTTTCCCAGCAAGTAATACTACATTTTTTTTTTTGCATTCTTTCAGTCGTCTAAAATCTTTTCAGCGCTAAATACTACCTTTTTTTTTTTTGCATTCTTTCAGTCATCTAAATCTTTTCCAGTGCTAAATAGTACATTTTTTTTTTTTGCATTGTTTCAGTCATCTAAAATCTTTTCAGCGCTAAATACTACATTTTCTTTTTTGCATTCTTTCAGTCATTTAAAATCTTTTTCAGTGCTAAATACTACCTTTTCTTTTTTTGCATTCTTTCAGTCATCTAAAATCTTTTCAGCGCTAAATACTACCTTTTTCTTTTTTTTTTGCATTCTTTCGTCATCTAAAATCTTTTTCAGTGCAAAATACTGCCTTTTTTTTTTTGCATTCTTTCAGTCATCTAAAATCTTTTCAGCTTCAATACCTTTACTATTTTTTTTTTTTTTGCTATTTTCTTTTCTTTTTTGCAGTCATCTAAAATCTTTTTTCAGTGCTAAATAATACCACTTTTTTTTTTTGTATTTTCAGCGCTAAATTTTCTTTTTATTTTTCCAAATCATTTCAGTGCAAATATTAGTACTTTTTTTTTTGCATTGTTTCAGTCATCTAAAACTATCTTTTCAGCGCTTTGCACTTTTCAGTCATTTTCTTTTTTTTTTCTTTTTGCTTTTTCCGTCATCTTTCAGCGCTAAATACTACCTTTCTTTTTTGCATTCTTTCCGTCAACACTTTTTCAGTGCAAAAATTTTTTCATTTTTTTCTTTCAGTCATCTAAATATTTTCAGCGCTTAACACCTTTTACTTTTTTTTTTTTTTCAGTGTTTAAAATTTCAGTACTAAATTTTTTCTTTCTTTTCAGTGCTTTTCAAAATTCTACCTTTTCTTTTTTTGCATTCTTTTCAGTCATTCAAAATCTTTTTCATAGCGCTTACATTCTTTGATCATTTTTTCAGCACTAAGCTTTTTTTTTTTGCATTTCTTTCAGTCATCTAAAATCTTTTCAGCGCTAAATACTACCTTTTCTTTTTTGCATTCTTCAGTCATCTAAAATCTTTTCAGTACTAAATTTTTTCTTTTTTTTGCATTTTTCAATCATCTAAAATCTTTTCAGCCTTAAATACTACCTTTTTTTTTTGCATTCTTTTCATCATCTAAAATCTTTTTCAGCGCTAAATACTAACTTTTCTTTTTTTTTTTCCAGTCATCTCTCTTTTCAGCGCAAATACTACCTTTTCTTTTTTTTGCATTTTTCAGTCATCTTTTCAGTGCTAAATACTACCTTTTTTTTTTTTTTTTGCATTCTTTCAGTCATTTAAAATCTTTTTCAGCGCTAAATACTACCTTTTCTTTTTTTGCATTCTTTCAATCATCTAAAATCTTTTTCTTTAAATACTTGCTTTTTTTTTTTTTTTCATCTTTCTTTTCATTTAAAATCTTTTTAGTTTTGCATTCTTCAGTACTACCTTTTTTTTTTTTTGCATTCTTTTTTTTGCATTTTTTAGTCATCTAAAAATCTTTTCAGTGCTAAATACTACCTTTTCTTTTTTTTGCATTCTTTTCAGTCATCTAAAATACTACCTTTTTTTTTTTTGCATTCTTTCATCGTCTAAATTTTTTTCTTTTTTTTTTTTTTTTTTGCATTCTTTTCAGTCATCCTAAAAAATACTTTTCAGCGCTTTCCTAAAATCTTTTCAGTGCTTTTTTTTTTTTTGCATTCTTTCAGTCATTTAAAATCTTTTCTGTGCTAAATACTTCAACTTTTCTTTTTTTTTGCATTCTTCAGTCATCTAAAATCTTGTCAGCGCCAAATACTACCTTTTCTTTTTTTGCATTCTTTCAGTCATCTAAAATTTTCAGTGCTAAATACCATTTTTTTTTTTTTATTCTTTTCAGTCATCTAAAATCTTTTCAGCATAAATACTACCTTTTTTTTTTTTGCATCCTTTCAGTCATCTAAAAATCTTTTTCAGCGCTAAATACTACCTTTTTTTTTTTTTTTTTGCATTCTTCAGTCATTTAAATCTTTTCAGCGCTAAACACACCTTTTTTTTTTTTTTTGTCATCTAAAAATCTTTCCGTCATCTAATATACTACTTTTTTTTTTGCAGCTTTCAGTGTTAAATACTTTCATTTACTACTTTTTTTGCATTCTTTCAGTCATCTAAAATCTTTTCAACGGTAAATACTACATTTTCTTTTTTTTTTTTTCAGTCATCTAAAATCTTTTCAGCGCCAATACTACCTTTTCTTTTTTGCATTCTTTCGAGTCATCTAAAATCTTTTTTCAGCGCTAAATACTTTTTTTTTTTTTGTCAAAAATTTTCAGCGGTAAATACTTTTTTTTTTTTGGCATTCTTTCAGTCATCTAAAATCTTTTTCAGCGCTAAATACTACCCTTTTTTTTTTTGCATTCTTTCAGTCATCTAAAATCTTTTCAGTGCAGAAATACTTCCTTTTTTTTTTTTTTGCATTCTTTTTCAGTCATCTAAAATCTTTTCAGCGCTAAATACTAATCTTTTCTTTTTTTTTTTCAGCATTTTTTTCTTTCATTTAAAATCTTTTCTAGTGCTTCATCTACCTTTTCTTTTTTTTTGCATTCTTTCAGTCATCTAAAATCTTTTTCAGCGCTAAATACTACCTTTTTTTTTTTTTTTGCATTTTTTCAGTCATTTTAAAATCTTTTTTCTAGCGCTAAATACTCTTTTTTTTTTTTGCATTCTTTTCAGTCATCTCAAATCTTTTCAGCGCTAAATCTACCTTTTCTTTTTTTTGCATTCTTTCAGTCATCTAAAAATCTTTTCAGCGCTAAATTCTTTTTTTTTGCATTTTTTCAGTCGTTTTAAAATCTTTTTCAGTGCCAAATACTCATTTCTTTTCTTTTTACATTCTTTCAGTCATCTAAAATCTTTTCAAGTGCTAAATACCTACCTTTTCTTTTTTACGTTTTTTTCAGTAATCTCAAAATCTTTTCAGCTTTTTTTTTTTTTTCTTTTTTTGCATTCTTTCAGTCATTTAAAATCTTTTCAGCCTTCAATACTATTTTTCTTTTTTTTGCATTCTCAGTCATCTAAAAATCTTTTCAGCGCTAAATACTTTTTTTCCTTTTTTTTTTGCATTCTTTCAGTCATCTAAAATCTTTTTCAGCGCTAAATACCTTTCTTTTCTTTTTTTTTTTTTCAGTCATCTAAATCTTTTCAGCAAATTACCTTTTCTTTTTTGCATTCTTTCCAAAATTCAAGTTTTTCAGCACCTAAATACTTTTTTTCTTTTTTTTTTTTCTTTCTTTAGTCATTTAAAATGTTTTTCAGTGCTAAATACTTTTTTTTTTTTTTTGCATTCTTTCATCAATCTTCTCAGTGCAAATACTACTTTTTCATTTTTTTTTTTTTGTTCTTTCAGTCATCTAAATATTTTTCAGTGCTAAATACTAATTTTTTTTTTTTTTCATTCTTTCAGTCATTTAAAATCTTTTCAGTTAACAATACTACCTTTTCTTTTCTTGCATTCTTTCAGTCATCTAAAATCTTTTTCTATGCGTTAAATACTACCTTTTTTTTTTTTACATTCTTTTCAGTCATCTAAAATCTTTTTCAGCGCTAACACTACCTTTTCATTTTTTTGCATTCTTTCATCATCTAAAATCTTTTCAGTGCTAAATCACTTTCTTTTTTTGCATTCTTTCAGTCATCTAAAATCTTTTCAGCGCTAAATACTACCTTTTCTTTTTTGCATTCTTTCAGTCATCTAAAATCTTTTTCAGCGCTAAATACTACCTTTCTTTTTTTGCATTCTTTCAGTCATCTAAAAATCTTTTTCAGCGCCTAAATATTACCTTTTCTTTTTTGCATTCTTCAGTCATCTAAAATTTTTCAGCCTTACTACCTTTTCTTTTTTTTTTTTCTTTCAGTCATTAAATCATTTTCAGTGCTAAATACTGCATTTTCTTTTTTTTGAATTCTTTCAGTCATCTAAAATCTTTTCAGCACTTTAAAATTACCTTTCTTTTTTGCATTCTTTCTCATCTAAAATCTTTTTCCAGCGCTAAATTGTACCTTTTCTTTTTTTTTTTTTTGCATTCTTTCAGTCATCTAAAATCTTTTCAATTGCTAAATTGTACCTTTTCTTTTTTTTTTTTGCATTCTTTTTCAGTCATCTAAAATCTTTTCAGCGCTAAATACTACCTTTTCTTTTTTTGCATTCTTTCAGTTCTCTAAAATCTTTTCAGTTCTTTTTTCTTTTTACGTTCTTTCAATCTAAATCTTTTCAGCGCTAAATACTACCTTTTTTTTTTCTTGCGTTCTTTCAGTCATCGAAAATCTTTTCGGCGCTAAATACTTTTTCTTTTTTTTTTTTTTTTTTCAGTCATTTTAAAATCTTTTCAGTGCTAAATACTACCTTTTCTTTTTTTACATTTTCAGTCATCTAAAATCTTTCAGCGCTAAATACTACCTTTTCTTTTTTTTTGTTCTTTCAGACATCTTTTTTCAGCGCTAAATACTACCTTTACTTTTTTTTTTTTTGCATTCTTTCAGTCATCTAAAATCTTTTCAGTACTAAATACTACCTTTTCTTTTTTGCATTTTTCAGTCATCTAAAATCTTTCAGCGCTAAATGCTACTTTTTCTTTTTTTGCATTATTTCAGACATCTAAAATCTTTTCAGCGCTAAATACTACCTTTTTTTTTTTTTTTTGCATTCTTTCGGTCTTCCTAAAATCATTTCAGCGCAAAATACTACTACCTTTTCTTTTTTTGCATTCTTTCAGTCATTTAAAAACTTTTTCAGCATAAATACATTTTTTTTTTTTTGAATTGTTTCTAGTCATCTCCGTCTTTTCGGCACTTCACTACCTTTTTTTTTTTTTTTTGCATTCTTTCAGTCATCTAAAATCTTTTCAGCGGGCATCTACTTTTGTTTTTTTTTTTTACATTCTTTTTCAGAATATCTAAAAATCTTTTTCCAGCGCTTAAATACTAATTTTTTTTTTTTTTTTTTGATTCTTTTCATCTAAAAATCTTTTCAAAATACTACCTTTTCTTTTTTTTTTTTTGTCATCTAAAATCTTTTCAGCGCTAAATACTTTTCCTTTTTTTTTTCTTTTCAGTTCTTAAATCTTTTCAGCGCTAAATACTACCTTTTCTTTTTTGCGTTCTTTCAGTCATCTTTTTTTTCTAGCATTAAATACTGCTTTTTTTTTTTTTTTATTCTTTCAGTCATCTAAAATCTTTTTAGCGCAAATACTTCCTTTTTTTTTTTTTTTTTTGCATTCTTTCAGTCATCTAAAATCTTTTTCAGCGCCAAATACTGCATTTTTTTTTTGCATTCTTTCAGTCATCTCAACCTTTTTTCTAGCGCTTAAATACTACCTTTTTTCTTTTTTTTTTTTTTGCATTCTTTTCAGTCATTAAAATCATTTAGTGCTAAATTTCTTTTTTTTTATTGTTTCAGTCATCTAAAATCTTTTCAGCACTAAATACTACCTTTTCTTTTTTGCATTCTTTCCAGTCATCTAAAATCTTTTTTTCAGCGCTAACATACTTTTTTCTTTTTTTTTTTTTGCATTCTTTCAGTCATTCGTCTTTTCAGTGCTAAATACTTTTTCTTTCTTTTGCATTCTTTCAGTCATCTAAAATCTTTTCAGCATAAATACTACCTTTTCTTTTTTTTGCATTCTTTTTGTCATCTAAAAACTTTTCAGCGTTAAATACTACCTTTTCTTTTTTTTTGCATTCTTTCAGTCATCTAAATCTTTTCAGCGCTAAATACTACCTTTTCTTTTTTTTTTGCATTCTTTCAGTCATCTAAAATCTTTTTCAGCGCTAAATACTAACTTTTTTTTTTTTGCATTCTTTCAGTCATTCTTTTCAGCATTTTATTACCTTTTCTTTTTTTTTGCATTCTTTCAGTCATCTAAAATTTTCAGCATCTATCTTTTTTTTTTTTTGCATTCTTTCAGTCATTTAAAATCTTTCAGCGCTTCTTTTTTTCTTTTTTTGCATTCTTTCAGTCATCTAAAATCTTTTCAGTACTAAATACTACATTTTTTTTTTTTTTTTCATTGTTTCCGTCATCTAAAATCTTTTTCAGTACAAAATACTACCTTTTTTTTTTTGCATTCTTTCAGTCATCTAAAATCTTTTTTCAGCGCTAAATACTACCTTTTCTTTTTTTTTCTTTCAGTCATTTAAATATTTTTTCAGCGCTAAATACCACCTTTTCTTTTTTTGCATACTCAGTCATCTAAAATCTTTTTAAATAACACTTCTTTTTTTGCATTCTTTCAGTCATCTAAATCTTTTCAGCACTTCACACTATATTTTTTTTTTTTTGCATTCTTTTCATTCATCTAAAATCTTTTTTCAGCGCTAAATACTAACTTTTCTTTTTTTTTTTTCAATCATCTAAAATCTTTTTTTCAGCGCTAAATCTTTTTCTTTTTTTTTTTTTTTGCATTCTTTCAGTCATCTAAAATTTTTTTTCAGCGCTAAATACTATCTTTTTTTTTTTTTGCATTCTTTCAAATAAAAATCTTTTCCTTAAAATACATTTCTTTTTTTTTGCGATTGTTTCAGTCATCTAAAATCTTTTCAACACTAAATCTCTATTTTTTTTTTTTGCATTCTTTCAGTCATCTAAAATACTTTTCAGCGCCAAATACTACCTTTTTTTTTTTGCATTCTTTCAGTCATCTAAAATCTTTTTCAGCGCTAAATCTACACTTTTTTTTTTGCATTTTTTCAGTCATTTAAAATCATTTTTATGCTAAATACTTTTTTTTCTTTTTTTTTGATTGTTTCAGTCATCTAAAATCTTTTTTCAGCGCTAAATACTACCTTTTTTTTTTGCATTCTTTCAAATCATCTAAAATCTTTTCAGTGCAAAATACCTTTTTTTCTTTTTTTTACATTCTTTTTCAGTCATCTAAAAAATTTTTTCAGCTTAAATACTTTTTTTTCTTTTTTTTATTCTTCTGAATATTTAAAATCTTTTTCAGTGCTAAATACTTTCCTTTTTTCTTTTTTTTTTTTGCATTCTTTTTGAATATTCAAAATCATTTCAGCACTAAATACCTTTTCTTTTTTTTTTTGCATTCTTCAGTCATCTAAAAATCTTTTCAGCATAAATATTACTTTTTTTTTTTGCATTCTTTCAGTGTCTAAAATCTTTTCAGCCTAAATACTAATCTTTTTTTTTGTATTCTTTTTCAGTCATCTAAAATCTTTTCAGCGCTAAATACTACATTTTTTTTTTTTTTTTTTTTTTCATCCTAAAATCTTTCAGTCCCAAATACTAAATTTCTTTTTTTGCATTCTTTCAGTCATCCCTAAAATCACCATCAGCGCCAAATTTTTTTTTTTTTTTTTGCATTCTTTCAGTCATTTAAATCATTTCATGCTAAATACATTTTTCTTTTTTTTTTTTGCATTCTTTCCAATCATCTAATCTTTTCGGCATAAAATACTACCTTTCTTTTTTTTTTACATCACTTTCCGTCATCTAAAATCTTTTTCAGTGCTAAATACTACCTTTTTTTTCTTTTTTTTTTTGCATTCTTTTGAGTCATCTTAAAATCTTTTTCAGCGCTAAATACTACCTTTTCTTTTTGCATTTCTGAATATCTAAAATCTTTTCTTAGTACTTAAATACTACCTTTTCTTTTTTTGCATACTTTCAGTCATTTAAAATTTTTCAGTGCAAATACTACTTTTTTTTTTTTGCATTTTTCAGTCATCTAAGGCTCTTTTCAGCGCAAAAATAGTACATTTTTTTCTTTTTTGCATTTTTTCAGTCATCTAAAATACTTTTCAGCGCTAAACACTACCTTTTTTCTTTTTTTTGCATTCTTTCAGTCATCTCAAATCTTTTTTCAGTGCTAAATACTGTAACACTTTTTTTTTTTTTGCATTCTTTTCAGTCGTCTAAATCTTTTTCTAGTAAATACTACATTTGCTTTTTTTTTTTTTTCAGTCATCTAAAATCTTGGCAGTCTAAATACTACCTTTTCTTTTTGCATTCTTTCATCATCTAAAATCTTTTTTTCGCGAAATTTTTTTTTTTTTGTATTCTTTCAGTCATCTAAAAATTTTTTCAGCATAATACTTCCTTTTTTTTTTTTTTTTACATTCTTTTCAGTCATCTAAAAATCTTTTTCAGCGCTAAATACCACTTTTTTTTCTTTTTTTTATTCTTTCAGTCATCCCTAAAATCTTTTTTCAGCGCTAAATACTGCCTTTTTTTTTTTTTTGCATTCTTTCAGTCATCTAAAATCTTTTCAGCGCTAGTCACTACCTTTTCTTTTTTTTTTTTGTATCTTTTCAGTCATCTAAAATCTTTTCAGCTAAATACTCTATTTTTTTTTTTTTTTCAGTTTTAAAATCATTTAAATCTTTTTTTTTTTTTTGCATTTTTCAATACTTAAAATCTTTTCTTTTTTTTTTTTTTTTTTGCATCATCTAAAAATCTTTTTCAGTGCTAAATACTTTTTCTTTTTTTTTACATTCTTTCAGTAATCTCAAATCTTTTCAGCGCTAAATACTTTTCTTTTTTTTTTTTGCATTCTTTCAGTCATTTAAAATCTTTTCAGCGCTAAATACTATCTTTTCTTTTTTTGCATTCTTTCAGTCGTCTAAAAATCTTTTCAGCGCAAAATTTCCTTTTTCCTTTTTATATTCTTTCAGTCATCTAAAATTTTCAGCGCTTCATACTACCCTTTTCTTTCTTTTTTTTGCATTCTTTCAACATCTAAAATCTTTTCAGCGCTAAATACTACCTTTTTTTTTTGCATTTCTCCAGTCATCTAAATCTTTTCAGCACCTAAATATTACCTTTTCCTTTTTTTTTACATTCTTTCAGTCATCTAAAATATTTTCAGCGCTAAACCACCTTTTTCTTTTCTTGCGTTCTTTCCTAGCCGATCGAAAATCTTCTCCCAGTGCTAAATACTACTTTTTCTTTTTTTGCGTTCTTCAGTCACCAAAATATTTTCAGTGCAAATACTACCTTTTCTTTTTTTTCATTCTTCAGTCATTTAAAATCTTTTCAGTGCTAAATATTACCTTTTCTTTTTTGCATTCTTTCAGTCATCTAAAAATCTTTTCAGCGTTAAATACCTTTTCATTTTTTTTTTTTTTTGCATTCTTTTCAGTTTATTTAAAAATCTTTTCAGTGCTAAATAATACCTTTTTCATTTTTTTGCATTCTTTCAGTCATCTAAAATCTTTTCAGTGCTAAATCTACCTTTACTTTTTCTTGCGTTCTTTCAGTCATCTAAAATCTTTTCAGCGCTAAATACTACCTTTTTCTTTTTTTTTGCATCTTTTCAGTCATCTAAAATCTTTCAGCGCTAAATACTACCTTTTACTTTTTTTGTATTCTTTCAGTCATCTAAAATCTTTTCAGCGCTAAATACTAATTTTTTTTTCTTTTTTTGCATTCTTTTCAGTCATCTGAAATCTTTTCAGCGCTAAATACTACATTTTTTTTTTTTGCATTCTTTCAGTCATCTAAAATGCTTTTCAGCGCTAAATACTAACTTTTCTTTTTTTTTTTTGCATTCTTTCATCATCTAAAATCTTTTCAGCGCTATTTTTTTTTTTTTTTGCATTCTTTCAGTCATCTAAAATCTTTTCAGCGCTAAATACTACCTTTTTTTTTTTTGCATTCTTTCAGTCATTTAAAAATTCAGTGCTAAATACTACATTTTTCTTTTTTTGAATTGTTTCAGTCATCTAAAATCTTTTTTCAGCGCTAAATACTACCTTTTCTTTTTTTTATCTTTTTCCGTCATCTAAAATCTTTTCAGTGCAAATACTACCTTTTTCTTTTTTTTGTATTCTTTCAGTCATCTAAAATCTTTTTTCAGCGCGCTAAATACTACTTTTCTTTTTTTTTTTGCATTCTTTCAGTCATTTAAAATCTTTTTTTCAGTGCTAAATACTACCTTTTCTTTCTTTTTTTTGCATACTTTCAGTCATCTAAAATCTTTTTTTTTCAGCGCTAAATACTACCTTTTCTTTTTGCATTCTTTCAGTCATCTAAAATCATTTCAGCTTAAATACTACCTTTACTTTTTTTTTTTTGCATTCTTTCAGTCATCTAAAATCTTTTTCAGCGCTAAATACTATCTTTTCTTTTTTTGCATTCTTTCCGGTCATCTAAAATCTTTTCAAAGGTAAATACTTCCTTTTTTTTTTAGATTCTTTCAGTCATCCTCAAATCTTTCCAGCAATAAATAGTAACTCTTTTTTTTTTTTTGCATTCTTTTCAGTCATCTAAAATCTTTTTTCAGTGCTAAACATCACCTTTTTTTTTTTTTGCATTCTTCAGTCGTCTAAAATCTTTTCAGCGCTTAAATACTACCTTTTTCTTTTTTTTGCATTCTTTCAGTCATCTAAAATTTTTCAGCCTTTAAATACTACTTTTTTTTTTTTTTGCATTCTTTCATTACCCAAATCTTTTTCAGCGCTAAATACTATCTTTTTTTTTTTGCATTCTTTCAGTCATTCAAAATCTTTTTCAGCGCTAAATACTTCCTTTTTTTTTTTTTTACATTCTTCAGTCATCTTAAATCTTTTTCGCGCTAAATACTACCATTTCTTTTTTTTTTGCATTCTTTCAGTCATCTAAATCTTTCAGCGCTAAATACCACCTTTTCTTTTTTTGCATTCTTTCAGTCATCTAAAATCTTTTCAGCACTTCAATACATTTTTTTTTTTTTGCATTTCTTTTCAGTCATTTTAAATCTTTTTCAGCGCCAAATATTACCTTTTTTTTTTTTGCATTCTTTTTCAGTCATCTAAAATCTTTCCAACTAAATAGTACCTTTTTTTTTTTTTTTTTTGCATCTTTCAGTCATCTAAAATCTTTTCGGTACTAAATACTACCTTTTTCTTTTTTTGCATTCTTTTTCAGTCATCTAAAATCTTTTCAGCACTTCATCTACCTTTTCCTTTTTTTTACGTTCTTTCAGTCATCTAAAATCTTTTTCAGCGCTAAATACTACCTTTTCTTTTTTCTTGCGTTCTTTCATCATCGAAAATCGTTTCAGCGCTAAATACTGCCTTTTCTTTTCTTGCGTTCTTTCAGTCCATATAAAATCTTTTCAGCGCTAAATACTACCTTTTTCTTTTTCTTGAGTTTTTCAGTCATCTAAAATCTTTTCAGCCTTCATCTGCCTTTTTTTTTGCATTCTTTCAGTCATCTAAAAATCTTTTCTGCGCTAAATCCTACCTTTTCTTTTTCTTGCGTTCTTTCAGTCATCTAAAATCTTTTTCAAAAGCCGCTAAATACTACCTTTTTTTTTTTTTGCATTCTTTCAGTCATCTAAAAATCTTCAGTGCTAAATACCTACCTTTTCTTTTTTTTTTAAGCATTCTTTTCAGTCATCTAAAAAAATCATTTCAGCGCTAAATACTACCTTTTCTTTTATTTTTTTTATTCTTTCAGTCATCTAAAATCTTCTCAGTGCTAAATACTACTTTTTCTTTTTTTTTGCGTTCTTTCAGTCACCTAAAATCTTTTCAGTGCTAAATACTACCTTTTCTTTCTTGTTTCATTCTTTCAGTCATTTGAAATCTTTTCACTGCTAAATACTACCTTTTCTTTTTTTGCATTCTTTCAGTCATCTAAAATCTTTTCATCGCTAAATACTACCTTTTCATTTTTTTTTTTTTTTGCATTCTTTCAGTCATTTAAAATCTTTTCAGTGCTAAATAATACCTTTTCATTTTTTGCATTCTTTCAGTCATTTAAAATCTTTTCAGTGCTAAATACTACCTTTTCGTTTTTGCATTCTTTCAGTCATCTAAAATCATTTCAGCGCTAAATACTACCTTTTCTTTTTTTTTTTTGCATTCTTTCAGTCATCTAAAAATCTTTTCAGCGCTTAAATACTATTTCTTTTTTTGCATTCTTTCAGTCATCTAAAATCTTTTCAGCGCTAAATACTTTTTTTTTTTTTTTTACATTCTTTCAGTCATCTCAAATCTTTTTCAGCGCTAAATACTACCTTTTCCTTTTTTTTCGTTCTTTCAGTCATCTAAAATCTTTTCACCTAAATACTACCTTTTCTTTTCTTGCGTTCTTTCAACATCGAAAATCTTTTCAGCGCTAAATACTACCTTTACTTTTTTTTGCATTCTTTCAGTCATCCAAAATCTTTTCAGCTAAATACTACCTTTTCTTTCTTTTTTTGCATTCTTTCAGTCATCTGAAATCTTTTTTCGCTAAATACTACATTTTCTTTTTTTTTTGCATTCTTTCAGTCATCTAAAATCTTTTTCAGCGCTAAATACTAAAAATCTTTTTTTTTTTGCATTCTTTCAGTCATCTAAAATCTTTTCAGCAGCCAAATATTACCTTTTCTTTTTTTGAATTGTTTCAGTCATCTAAAATCTTTTCAGCGCTTCATACTACCTTTTCTTTTTTGCATTCTTTCCGTCATCTAAAATCTTTTTCAGTGCACAATACTACCTTTTCTTTTTTTTTTGCATTCTTTCAGGTCATCTAAAATCTTTTCAGCGCTAAATACTACCTTTTCTTTTTTTTTTTTTTACATTCTTTCAGTCATTTAAAAATCTTTTCAGTGCTAAATACTACCTTTTCTTTCTTTTTTGCATACTTTCAGTCATCTAAATCTTTTCAGCGCTAAATACTACCTTTTCTTTTTTTGCATTCTTTCAGTCATCTAAAATCATTTCAGCGCTTCAATCTACCTTTACTTTTTTTTTTTTGCATTCTTTCAGTCATCTAAAATCTTTTCAGTACTAAATACTACCTTTTCTTTTTTTTTTTGCATTCTTTTTCAGTCATCTAAAATCTTTTCAGCCTTCGTACTACCTTTTTTTTTTTTTGCATTCTTTTCAGTCATCTAAAATCTTTTCAGCGCTAAATACCACTTTACTTTTTTTGCATTCTTTTCAGTCATCTAAAATCTTTTCAGCGCTAAATACTACCTTTTCTTTTTTTTTTGCATTCTTTCAGTCATCTAAAATCTTTTCAGCGCTAAATACTATCTTTTCTTTTTTGCATTCTTTCAGTCATCTAAAAATCTTTTCTTTTTTCATACTTCCTTTTCTTTTTTTTTTCTTTCAGTCATCTCTCAGTCTTTCAGCGCTAACTACCTTTTCTTTCTTTTTTTTTTTCTTTCAGTCATTTTAAATCTTTTCAGCGCCGTACTACCTTTTCTTTTTTTTTGCATTCTTTCAGTCATCTAAAATCTTTCAGCGCTAAATAACCTTTTCTTTTTTTTTTTTGCATTCTCAAGTCATCTAAAATCTTTTCAGTGCTAAATACCTTTTCTTTTTTTTTGCATGCTCTTTCAGTCATCTAAAATTCAGCGCTAAATACTACCTTTTCCTTTTTTTTTTCTTTCAGTCATCTAAAATCTTTCAGCATATCTACCTTTTCTTTTTCTTGCGTTCTTTCAGTCATCAATCGTTTCAGCGCTAAATACTTTTTTTTTTTTTTCCTTTCTTTCAGTCGCCTAAAATCTTTTCAGCGCTTCATCTACCTTTTCTTTTTTTTGAATATTCTTTCAGTCATCAAAATCTTTTTTCAGCGCTAAATACTACCTTTTTCTTTTTTTGCATTCTTTCAGTCATCTAAAATCTTTTCAGTCGCTAAATGCCTTTTTTTTTCTTGAATTCTTTCAGTCATCTAAAATCTTTTTCTGCGCTAAATACTACCTTTTCTTTTTTTGCGTTCTTTCAGTCATCTAAAAATCTTTTTCAGCGCTAAATACTACCTTTTCTTTTTTTGCATTCTTTCAGTCATCTAAAATCTTTTTCAGTGCTAAATACTACCTTTTCGTTTTTGCATTCTTTCAGTCATCTAAAATCATTTCAGCGCTAAATACTACCTTTTTCTTTTTTTTTTTTTTTTTTTTTCTTTCAGTCATTTAAAAATTTTTTTCATTCAGTGCTAAATACTACTTTTTTCTTTTTTTTTTTTTCTTTTCAGTCATTTAAAATCTTTTTCAGTGCTAAATACTACCTTTTCTTTCTTTTTTCATTCTTTCAGTCATTTGAAATCTTTTCAGTGCTAAATACTTCCTTTTCTTTTTTTGCATTCTTTCAGTCATTTAAAATCTTTTCAGTGCTAAATAATACCTTTTAATTTTTTGCATTCTTTCAGTCATCTAAAATCTTTTCAGTGCTAAATACTACCTTTTCGTTTTTGCATTCTTTCAGTCATCTAAAATCATTTCAGCGCTAAATACTACCTTTTCTTTCTTTTTTTTGCATTCTTTCAGTCATCTAAAATCTTTTCAGCGCCAAATACTACCTTTTCTTTTTTTTGCATTCTTTCAGTCATCTAAAAATCTTTTCAGCGAAAAATACTACCTTTACTTTTTTTGCATTCTTTCAGTCATCTAAAATCTTTTTTCAGCGCTAAATACTACCTTTTCTTTTTTTTTTTAGATTTTTTCAGTCATCTAAAATCTTTTTTCAGCGCTTAAATACTACCTTTTCTTTTTTTTTTTTGCATTCTTTCAGTCATCTAAAATCTTTTCAGCGCTAAATACTATCTTTTCTTTTTTTTTTTTTTGCATTCTTTTTTCAGTCATCTAAAATCTTTCAGCGCTAAATTTTCTTTTTTCTTTTTTTTGAATTCTTTTCAGTCATCTCAAATCTTTTCAGCGCTAAATACTACATTTTTTTTTTTTTTTTTTTTGCATTCTTTCAGTCATCTAAAATCTTTTCAGCGCTAAATACTACCTTTTCTTTTTTTTTTGCATTCTTTTTAGTCATTACAAATCTTTTCAGCGCTAAATACATTTTCTTTTTTTTGCATTCTTTCAGTCATTTAAAATCTTTTCAGCGCTAAACTACAAAACCTGCATTCTTTTTTTTTTTCTTTTTTTCCAGCGCTAAATATTTTCTTTTTTTTTTTTTATCATTTCAGTGCTAAATACTACCTTTTTTTTTTTTCTTTCAGTTCGAAAATTTTCAGTCATACCCTATTTCTTTTCAGCGTTCTTTCAGTCATAAAAATCTAAATACCCTTTTCTTTTTCTTGAGTTCTTTCAGTCATCTAAAATCTTTTCAGCGCTAAATACTACCTTTTCTTTTTTTTGCATTCTTTCAGTCATCTAAAATCTTTTCTGCGCTAAATACTACCTTTTCTTTTTCTTGCGTTCTTTCAGTCATCTAAAATCTTTTTTCAGCGCTAAATACTACCTTTTTTTTTTTTTTTCATTCTTTCAGTCATCTAAAAATTTTTCAGTGCTAAATACTACCTTTTCGTTTTTTTTTTCTTTCAGTCATCAAAAATCATTTCAGCGCTAAATACTACCTTTTCTTTTTTTTTTTTTTTTCTTTCAGTCATCTAAAATCTTCTCAGTGCTAAATACTACTTTTTTCTTTTTTTTTTTTCTTTCAGTCACCTAAAATCTTTTCAGTGCTAAATAAAATTTCTTTTTTTTCATTCTTTCAGTCATTTTGAATCTTTTTCACTGCAGAAATACTACCTTTTCTTTTTTTTGCATTCTTTCAGTCATCTAAAATCTTTTCATTGCTAAATACTACCTTTTCATTTTTTTTTTTTTGCATTCTTTCAGTCATTTAAAATCTTTTCAGTGCTAAATAATACCATTTCATTTTTTTTTTTTGCATTCTTTCAGTCATCTAAAATCTTTTTCAGTGCCGCAAATTTACTACCTTTCGTTTTTGCATTCTTTCAGTCATCTAAAAAATTTTTCAGCGCTAAATACTTTTCTTTTTTTTTTTTTGCATTCTTTCAGTCATCTAAAATCTTTTCAGCGCTAAATACTATCTTTTCTTTTTTTACATTCTTTCAGTCATCTAAAATCTTTCCAGCGCTAAATTGTACCTTTTCTTTTTTTTTTTTTTGCATTCTTTCAGTCATCTAAAATCTTTTCAGTGCTAAATACTACCTTTTCTTTTTTTTACATTCTTTCAGTCATCTAAAATCTTTTCAGCGCTAAATACTACCTTTTCCTTTTTTTTACGTTCTTTCAGTCATCTAAAATCTTTTCAGCGCTAAATACTACCTTTTCTTTTTCTTGCGTTCTTTCAGTCATCGAAAATCTTTTCAGCGCTAAATACTACCTTTACTTTTTTTTTTGCATTCTTTCAGTCATCTAAAATCTTTTCAGCGCTAAATACTACCTTTTCTTTCTTTTTTTGCATTCTTTCAGTCATCTGAAATCTTTTCAGCGCTAAATACTACATTTTCTTTTTTTTGCATTCTTTCAGTCATCTAAAATCTTTTCAGCGCTAAATACTAACTTTTCTTTTTTTTGCATTCTTTCAGTCATCTAAAATCTTTTCAGCGCCAAATATTACCTTTTCTTTTTTTTGCATTCTTTCAGTCATCTAAAATCTTTTCAGCGCTAAATACTACCTTTTCTTTTTTTTTGCATTCTTTCAGTCATTTAAAATCATTTCAGTGCTAAATACTACATTTTCTTTTTTTTGCATTCTTTCAGTCATTTAAAATCTTTTCAGTGCTAAATACTACCTTTTCTTTCTTTTTGCATACTTTCAGTCATCTAAAATCTTTTCAGCGCTAAATACTACCTTTTCTTTTTTTGCATTCTTTCAGTCATCTAAAATCATTTCAGCGCTAAATACTACCTTTTCTTTTTTTTTTTGCATTCTTTCAGTCATCTAAAATCTTTTCAGTGCTAAATACTACCTTTTCTTTTTTTTGCATTCTTTCAGTCTACTAAAATCTTTTCAGCGCTAAATACTACCTTTTCTTTTTTTTGCATTCTTTCAGTCATCTAAAATCTTTTCAGCGCTAAATACCACTTTTTCTTTTTTTGCATTCTTTCAGTCATCTAAAATCTTTTCAGCGCTAAATACTACCTTTTCTTTTTTTTTTTTTTTTTTTTTGCATTCTTTCAGTCATCTAAAATCTTTTCAGCGCTAAATACTATCTTTTCTTTTTTTGCATTCTTTCAGTCATCTAAAATCTTTTCAGCGCTAAATACTTCCTTTTCTTTTTTTTACATTCTTTCAGTCATCTCAAATCTTTTCAGCGCTAAATACTACCTTTTCTTTTTTTTTTTGCATTCTTTCAGTCATCTAAAATCTTTTCAGCGCTAAATACTACATTTTCTTTTTTTTGCATTCTTTCAGTCATTTAAAATCTTTTCAGCGCCAAATACTACCTTTTCTTTTTTTTGCATTCTTTCAGTCATCTAAAATCTTTCCAGCGCTAAATAGTACCTTTTACTTTTTTTTTTTTTTTTTTGCATTCTTTCAGTCATCTAAAATCTTTTCAGTGCTAAATACTACCTTTTCTTTTTTTTGCATTCTTTCAGTCATCTAAAATCTTTTCAGCGCTAAATACTACCTTTTCCTTTTTTTTACGTTCTTTCAGTCATCTAAAATCTTTTCAGCGCTAAATACTACCTTTTCTTTTTCTTGCGTTCTTTCAGTCATCGAAAATCCTTTCAGCGCTAAATACTACCTTTTCTTTTTCTTGCGTTCTTTCAGTCATATAAAATCTTTTCAGCGCTAAATACTACCTTTTCTTTTTCTTGAGTTCTTTCAGTCATCTAAAATCTTTTCAGCGCTAAATACTACCTTTTCTTTTTTTTGCATTCTTTCAGTCATCTAAAATCTTTTCTGCGCTAAATACTACCTTTTCTTTTTCTTGCGTTCTTTCAGTCATCTAAAATCTTTTCAGCGCTAAATACTACCTTTTTTTTTTTTTTGCATTCTTTCAGTCATCTAAAATCTTTTCAGTGCTAAATACTACCTTTTCGTTTTTGCATTCTTTCAGTCATCTAAAATCATTTCAGCGCTAAATACTACCTTTTTTTTTTTTTTGATTCTTTCAGTCATCTAAAATCTTCTCAGTGCTAAATACTACTTTTTCTTTTTTTTTGCGTTCTTTCAGTCACCTAAAATCTTTTCAGTGCTAAATACTACCTTTTCTTTCTTTTTTCATTCTTTCAGTCATTTGAAATCTTTTCAGTGCTAAATACTTCCTTTTCTTTTTTTGCATTCTTTCAGTCATCTAAAATCTTTTCATCGCTAAATACTACCTTTTCATTTTTTTTTTTTGCATTCTTTCAGTCATTTAAAATCTTTTCAGTGCTAAATAATACCTTTTCATTTTTTGCATTCTTTCAGTCATCTAAAATCTTTTCAGTGCTAAATACTACTGTTGAAGCTTAAATAAGCATGGAATAATGCAACACAAAATGTACGTTAACAAAATGTATTGAAACAAAGAATAGGTACACAATATTTACAGTTAGTTTGGTATATTCTTGGGAAGACTGTTCCTGCATAATGGGTTGACTAAATCGCAGTCGGGCAGAGTCTCTGGATTCAATTTCTTAATCTCTACTATCTTCCCCGTCTTCCGGTACCAACCCATATTTATATGGTCGGTAGTCCGCTTATGTAAATTAGGTGTATCATACACAACAACTACCTTTTCGTTTTTGCATTCTTTCAGTCATCTAAAATCATTTCAGCGCTAAATACTACCTTTTCTTTTTTTTTTTTGCATTCTTTCAGTCATCTAAAATCTTTTCAGCGCTAAATACTATCTTTTCTTTTTTTGCATTCTTTCCGTCATCTAAAATCTTTTCAGCGCTAAATACTTCCTTTTCTTTTTTTTACATTCTTTCAGTCATCTAAAATCTTTCCAGCGCTAAATTGTACCTTTTCTTTTTTTTTTTTTTTGCATTCTTTCAGTCATCTAAAATCTTTTCAGTGCTAAATACTACCTTTTCTTTTTTTTGCATTCTTTCAGTCATCTAAAATCTTTTCAGCGCTAAATACTACCTTTTCCTTTTTTTTACGTTCTTTCAGTCATCTAAAATCTTTTCAGCGCTAAATACTACCTTTTCTTTTTCTTGCGTTCTTTCAGTCATCGAAAATCTTTTCAGCGCTAAATACTACCTTTTCTTTTTCTTGCGTTCTTTCAGTCATATAAAATCTTCTCAGCGCTAAATACTACCTTTTCTTTTTCTTGCGTTCTTTCAGTCATCTAAAATCGTTTCAGCACTAAATACTACCTTTTCTTTTTCTTGCGTTCTTTCAGTCATCTAAAATCTTTTCAGCGCTAAATAATACCTTTTTCTTTTTTCTTTATTTCTTTCAGTCATCTAAAATCTTTTCAGCGCTAAATACTACCTTTTCTTTTTTTTTTTTTGCTTTCTTCAGTCATCTAAAATCTTTTCAGTGCTAAATACTACCTTTTCGTTTTTTGCATTCTTTCAGTCATCTAAAATCATTTCAGCGCTAAATACTACCTTTTTTTTTTTTTTTTTTTTCTTTTTCAGTCATCTAAAATCTTCTCAGTAAGTAAATACTACTTTTCTTTTTTTTTTTCTTCTTTCAGTCACTAAAATCTTTTTTCAGTGCTAAATACTACCTTTTCTTTCTTTTTTCATTCTTTCAGTCATTTAAAATCTTTTCAGTGCTAAATACTACCTTTTCTTTTTTTGCATTCTTTCAGTCATCTAAAATCTTTTCAGCGTTAAATACTACCTTTTCATTTTTTTTTTTTTTGCATTCTTTCAGTCATTTAAAATCTTTTCAGTGCTAAATAATACCTTTTCATTTTTTGCATTCTTTCAGTCATCTAAAATCTTTTCAGTGCTAAATACTATTTTCGTTTTTGCATTCTTTCAGTCATCTAAAATCATTTCAGCGCTAAATACTACCTTTTCTTTTTTTTTTTTTTTGATTCTTTCAGTCATCTAAAATCTTCTCAGTGCTAAATACTACCTTTTCTTTTTTTTGCGTTCTTTCAGTCACCTAAAATCTTTTCAGCGCTAAATACTACCTTTTCTTTTTTTGCATTCTTTCAGTCATCTAAAATCTTTTCAGTGCTAAATACTACCTTTTCTTTTTTTTGCATTCTTTCAGTCATCTAAAATCTTTTCAGCGCTAAATACTACCTTTTCTTTTTTTTTTGATTCTTTCAGTCATCTAAAATCTTCTCAGTGCTAAATACTACTTTTTCTTTTTTTTGCGTTCTTTCAGTCACCTAAAATCTTTTCAGTGCTAAATACTACCTTTTCTTTCTTTTTTTTCATTCTTTCAGTCATTTAAAATCTTTTCAGTGCTAAATACTACCTTTTCTTTTTTTGCATTCTTTCAGTCATCTAAAATCTTTTTAGCGCTAAATACTACCTTTTCTTTTTTATTTTTTTGCATTCTTTCAGTCATTTAAAATCTTTTCACTGCTAAATAATACCTTTTCATTTTTTGCATTCTTTCAGTCATCTAAAATCTTTTCAGTGCTAAATACTACCTTTTCGTTTTTGCATTCTTTCAGTCATCTAAAATCATTTCAGCGCTAAATACTACCTTTTCTTTTTTTTTTGATTCTTTCAGTCATCTAAAATCTTCTCAGTGCTAAATACTACCTTTTCTTTTTTTTGCGTTCTTTCAGTCACCTAAAATCTTTTCAGCGCTAAATACTACCTTTTCTTTTTTTGCATTCTTTCAGTCATTTAAAATCTTTTCAGTGCTAAATACTACCTTTTCTTTTTTTGCATTCTTTCAGTCATCTAAAATCTTTTCAGCGCTAAATACTACCTTTTCTTTTTTTTGAGTGATGGCAATTGTAATTAAAGAGCAGCAGCTGTTCTCTGTTTATTAAGGGTTTCCGGCGAAAGGGTAATGTAATTGATTCTGCCCCGACATCTTGACTTCAGTCACTTTCTCACCAGCATGCCGTGGCTTCCCTCTGTCTTTTCTACAAATATTTTCATGACAATTAATTTGATGTCTCGACTGCGTAGATTTAAACATACTACTAGACTGGCAACCAGGTCTCATCTTTTTACTGTCGAACTAGCTAGACGCAACCGTATGTTCTATATTTTGTTTTTTCGCCTCCCGAATTTTTTGCTTTCCTGACACCTACAATCTTCGTAAATTTAAATCCAACACCAATGATCATTTTATACCTTCCTGTATGCTATTCCTTTCTTGTCCGTTCTCCTCACTAAAGTTTTCTCATTTTCTTTCATTCCCTAATCACTTGCGTCCGCGTTCGTTCAACTTAATCCAGAGCATGGCTGTTCAAACGTAAAACATCTTCAAGCATATTCGCGTATATTCATGCAAACAACACACGTGCTAACAGGTTTGAATACCGACGTGAGTCCCTTTAAGATCAATGCAATCAATATTTCTGCTGACGTTTTTAAAGACGTGGCGCCATTTTCTGTTCTTATCATTTTTATCGGTGACATTTTCCAATGCTGATTTCCTCAAAGAAATGAAAATAATCTTGAATTTTCCTTTTCATACATATTGCTCCCTTAAGACGTCTGATGCCTTTCGACCATCATCTTTAGCGTCTTGAATACGTAAGGAAAGTTTCCTATCGTCCATACACTGATCCAGATCTGCAAAATTCCGGCATTCCTTTCCCTGTAATTTTCATCTTCTAAACAAATTTGTATCGATAATATAATATCATGTAAGATTTGAAATCGCATATTAACCTCTCGCATATAATGTCTAACTTCCCATAACTCGTATTTGCTTTTCTTACCGTTAAACATTAAGCGGCATCTTATGGGCTCATCACCTGTTTGAGACATTTTGTTCGACTTGACGGCGAAAAAAAAAGTAACGCCAATATTATCAAAAATAATAGTATCCAGTGATTTTAATTGTAATATACACATTGATAGTGTAATGCCTTTTTGCCGCCGCTTATACCCGGTGATGTAACCACGTTTAGTGGTCCGGTACTCAGAGTCTTCGGGTGACGTTTTAACCACAGGGCTAAAACTGTGCTGGTCAGTGCTGACGCCGGTCCAAGCTGGTTGTTGGTCGCTGGCCGCTTTGATCCACACCATGCCTACGTTGTGTTCTTAAACTCAGGGTAGTGGAAGATTGAAAGTCGTCGTAATCAAGCCCTGGCGGGTCCTACATTAAGGAAGAAAAATATCTTCATAGCGAAAAACAAAACGAAAGATTCATGGGTTCAATCTTCAATTGGTTTATATAGCTCTTGGTACAACAAAAATTAACCCTTCTCACATCAATCTCTATAGTGACTGGGCCTTGTCGAAGATACTGGAAGAGCTGTGTTCAAAGTTCTTTAGAATCAGGAAATCTGGTGGATTTCAGAATCCATCTCAATCGATGTGGCTTCTCACCCGAAGATCTCTGAGCTCCCAAAATCATCTGCTTATATGCACTTCGGCCCAAAACTGGCTTGGGTCTGAAGGGTTCTGGGGATTCGGTGACTTCACAATTTTCACATTAATCCCAATAAAGTTTTCTTTGTCCCTATTTCTGCTTTCTTATTCAATTTTACAAATTTGGAGAATTATACTCCTTCTTCGTAGTAGTCACTCCTCCACTAACTCCAACCTGCTTCACTTCACGTCTCGCACCACCACTCCACACAGGCGGTGCTTGATTATGTCACTTCCTCCTTCCTTCTCGGTATTCTACTTCTGCCTACCTCTCACGGTTGGCATAACTGTCTTTTTGACAAATCTTATTTTTAAAGTGCGTAAGCAAAAGGGTATAATTCGCATCATTAATTTTAATTCTCTGACTCCCTTCCCCTTCTTTAGAATTACCTCTGTCCAGCAAGAACAAAAACTAGACCACTGCGTTCTCATTTAACCTTCCGAAAAATAGATAAAATTATTTCCAAATTTCTTTTCGTCAATGAAAATATATTTGTTTACCTAAACTCTCAAAAAAGAGACAAACTGTTCTCCGTCCTTGAGCCAATAACTGCCGTAGCGAAAACATAAAACAGACTGCCTGCTTTTCACGACAGGATTGATTTTCATAATCCTAACTCTCACAGTGGGTTCATTCCCTGTTTTCATTTCTCAATTCTTTTTCGCTAAAGAAAATATAATTCCCATCTGTCTCTCTTCTCGCCAATGACATGTGTTTTCTAATTTCCCAAGAAAGAGATAAATCCATTTCCCAATTTTACCTACCCGCATGCCAAATTTTCGATAGATTAAAAAAAAACTGTTGGTGCATCGTTCCAATTCGTAGGTCGGGTAAGGCAATCCAGCTGGCCCCTTTTTTTCACTTCCATATTACTCTATCTCTCTATTTTCCAGATTATATTTCATTCCGGGCTTAACCCTTCTGTCCAGAATCAACATTTAACTAACTCATAGCCTCAGTGTCGCAATTATAATACAATAAAATAACGCACGCGATTGTTTATTTTGTATATAATATAAAAATATGGTACAAAGTCAAAGTTATAAGGCAAGATGAATGTATTGGTCTTTCTTTTCACTATCTTATCGTTAACTTGTTTCATTGCATTTACTGACCTAACCAGTCTTCATTGTTCCTTTCCCTGCATTTATGCTTTACTCTTTCATGATACAAAAAGTTACTTTCTATGAAACTAAATCCGTAGTTTCAATTTCATAGGCGGTGGGGCGAAAAAGTCAGCTGATTCATGCAATTTCGAAAATGTGTCTCGATTTTTCAACCGTGAAATGTTTTAATATACAACAAAATGCTTTTCCTCATTTTTTAGCAAATGGCAAGTCAAATTATCAGGATTAGTTAAGTAGCTTTCTGAATACCCCTGTCAAGTAACTACAAGAAGTTTTCGGTTTTAGGTATAATATTTGTGTGAATGACAATCAGTTTTATTTTGTTTAGGGGGTGCGAAATCATGTCGTACTAACGGAGTGATTTTTTTTTTTAAATTTCGATACATACCATTTAAATTGGTTTTAAAAAAATAGGATATCATTTTAAGTCGTTAGTTTTGTCAATAACTTGTAATTTTACATTTAATATGACCTTTAAATTTGATTCTGTTTATTATTATTATGATGATGATGATGATTATTATCATTTCCTATGATTCTTTAATTTCTCTTGTATACATATTTCTTTCCGGGTCCCACCCAGAGATCTAAGGTCAGAAATGGTCTCATGACATTTTCAACTGATCATTTTCATAAAAAAAAAAGAAAAAAAAA